GTTTTCGGCTTAGACCAAGGTATCATCTTTATTTGTTTCTTTGTCTGATATTCTTGTTATTCTTATTTTCCCTTAACATCTTTATTGCAAGCTGAAATTGTTTTATCATTTTTTTTTTTTTGCAATGACATGCTTGATAAGGAACTGTGGACTCGGATAGTTCCAGAAACTTTCTGATTCTTGTCTCTTGGAATTAGTTTTAGTTGCCGTAACGAGCTCATTGCTTGTCTACTTTTGCATACAAGTGACGTGCAGTTACTGCACAGAGTGATCGGTTTTGTTTTTGTTCCGCATAACTAACGTTTCTTTGGGGAGTCGCACTTTAATGCGCGCGGAGTTATCCAATTAAATGGTGATATGTTTTATTGCAATTCATTGTTTTTATTTTGGTGTTGCAGAAGGAGAGTTCACGTGGCTGTACAGATTGATCTTGATGTTCGGTCAAGGGGGAGGCTGAGTTCAACAGCTGCATAATGCATTCCATTCCACTGCATTCGTTGATGTACCTAGCTAGTTGATTGTTTACCAATCTTGACTTTTTCATGTTGAACCTTTTCATATCCAACTAAGTCCTTGGGGCATGGACTGGCTATTTATGCCCCTGTACAATGTTTAGCAGACCAAGAGGCACCAGTGCTTTTGGTATATTCAAATAAAAAATTCAAGGCGAATCATCACTGACATCAGGTTTGCTTCTGGATGTTCCCCCCCGGGATCGAGTTGTCTGACTACAAAAGGATCCCAAGTCTAGGTAGTGAGAGCCCTTCGGGCCTTCTTACTGGTGAGAGCTTAAATGTGGAGCCAATTGTTGATTTGGATCTCTTCTTCGAAAGGCTTTACAGTTACTACTGTGAGAAAGGGCTTTGGTGCATCATTGTAAAGTGGATTGTTGAACTTTTGAGTCTAGGCTTTACCATATGTTTTTCTGGATTTTTTTTACTATATGTTGATTGGAATGGGCTTCGTAATGCGAAGTGTGGGATGGATGCAGTTGAATCTGGAATCAAACCCTGTGATCTAGCAAAAGAAGCTCTTTGGCAACACCCCTTAACCCCACTGACACTTACTAAGGCTATTATTGTTGGATACTTGGGAATATTTTCCATCTATTGGATATTTTGTTTCTTGAGGTTCTTTACTCAACTAAAAGACACTCTGGAAATCCGTCAGTTTTACTACAATAGGTATGTGTAGATAATAAACAAAGCTGAAGCAAATGATAACTTTTGCTTGATAAGATTTTTTTTGGGGCAATGATTAACCGTGTTTTCCTTACAGTCTTTGTGTAACCGACAATGAAATTCAAACCATGCCTTGGGCAACAATCCTTGAAAAGGTTGTTTCAATACAAAGCTCGCAACAGCTCTGTTTGGTTAAGGATCTTTCTGCTCATGACATGGTGATGAGATTGATGCGGAAGGAAAACTACTTGATTGGAATGCTTAACAAGGGGGTGCTTGCATTTCCCATTTCTCATTGGGTTCCTGGTGCTGGCCCTACAGTAAAATCTTGCCCGAACGGAAAACAATGTCGTCTAATACTTACCAAGACACTTGAGTGGACTTTGAATTGGTGCATCTTATATAGCATGTTTGATCGGTATACTTGAATTTTCCTTGAACTAACTTTTTCTTTTTTTCTTTTTGGAAATTTTATTTCATGTGAATTGATATAGACCGACTCATGCGGTTTTGCAGTTAGGTAATATGATTAAGAACGTTATTTTGCTGTCTAGGCTATATCCAAGATTGATGACGTTCTCCTTTGAACATGCTTTCTTTGCAGAAACTTTTGTGTTAAGAGGGACTTTATGTCTAATCCAAAGACACTAAAGAAAAGGCTTATGATTGTTGGGCTTGCCATGCTTTTGCTTTCTCCATTTCTTGTCATATTCATGCTCGTGTATCTCTTTCTGAGGCATGCTGAACAAATTTATAATCATCCAAGTACAGCTTCATCTCGAAGATGGTCAAATTTGTCTAGGTGGATGTTTAGGGACTTCAATGAGGTATCATCGTTGTTTTTTGGTCAATAATTTTTATTGCATCTCACCTGTGTCCCTTTTGTCATATGTATAATATTACCAATTATGTCACTTGTGTTCCAGGTGGACCATCTCTTCAAGCATCGGATTAATAACAGTGTAATACATGCTTCGGAGTACCTGAAGCAGTTTCCTTCACCTATTATATCTATAATTGCAAAGTTCATCTCTTTTGTATCGGGTGGTTTTGCTGCAATTCTGATCATCATTGCTTTTCTTGAGGAATCATTGCTAGAGGGCCATGTAATGTATTTCTACTTATGTAGCCTAAAATAAGTTACACCAAGAAACACCATGACAGTTACTAATGATAGATTTCTTCAATATTGCAGATATTTGGTCGAAACTTATTTTGGTATGGTGCTGTTTTTGGAACAATAACTGCAATTAGCAAGGCTATAATTGCAAATGATCTTCTGGTCTTAGATCCTGAGGGAGCGATGTCGTTGGTGGTTCAACATACTCATTATATGCCAAAGAAATGGCGAGGCAAAGAAAATACTGAAATGGTACGCCTTGAGTTTGAAACATTGTTTCAGGTACTCTCTCCGAGGTATTGGTTTCATGCATATTCATGATAGCATAGGATTTGATATTGCTTCCTCTCATGCTGTTATGTTTTTGTGCATTTTAGTATACAGGGATGATGTTGCTTGAGGAGATGACCTCAATTTTTCTCACTCCTTATTTACTTATGTTTATCGTCCCAAAGGTCACTTCCATACTTGGACATAATCTCTGATTTGATTATTTTCCATTTATTGTAATGTCCTAATTGCTTGTTTTGTTCATTTTGCAGCGGGTCAATGATATTTTGCAGTTCATTGTGGATTTCACAGTGAATGTTGACGGTGTTGGCCATGTTTGCAGGTTAGTGTATAATTTAATGACTTATGATTGACATCCTTTTTTAATTTGCATCTGCCTGTTGTTTTGGGTGTCTTTTATGAAATTCTCCTTTGCTTCCACTTTCCAGTTTTTGTTGTCTGAATAGCAGATGATTTTGGTTGTTTTGTTGTATTCTCTTTATTGTTGCAGTTTCAGTGTCTTTGACTTTCGAGAGCATGGAAATAGCAATTATGGTTCCCCACACAATGCAATTCGCAGTCAGAGGAGTTCTCAGGGGAAGATGGAGAAATCATTTTTGAGGTATGTTCCATGTAAGCGTTTGTCAAATGCACAAAAACTGACTCAACGTAGTGCTGTTACATTTCATATCTATTCTGGTTAATATTATGAGCCTATTGGGTGTCAGATCCAGATATTTAGAAATGGCTCTAGCTGCTTTGCTTAATTTTCTTGCCTTCGAGCCATGAAAGCAGTCGTTATATTATCGAGGATGCATGCATGTGCAATGCCTCTTAGCTTCCATGGAGCCTTTTTCATTTATTATTTTTAGGTTAAAGGTTTACAAGAAGCCTTTACCACTGCTGTAATGAAACAAGATTTTCATTCTGCCCATCTAACACTTTGTTTTCCGTTTTTTCATTGCTGTCTGAAAGCAATTATTTTTCAGACATGCAATCCAATTCTGAATGTCAATAACTCAATAATAAACGGGGAAAATCACTGTCGTTGTTGTTGCAGCTTTCAGAGTAGTTATCCATCATGGCCACCAAATTCTCAGGGGAAGCAATTTTTGCTAAATCTTAGAACCTTCAGAGAGCAAAATTTGCAAGGACATGGAAACAGACATGCATTCCCTCCTACTAGGTTGTGCAAGGGTATTTCCAATACTAGGAGCTGTGGAAGCAGAAACAGGTTTGCGTCCTGGGAAATGCCATGTGTATTTGGCAATCACTTGTGTTCGTTGTGGCTGATTGATGCCAACCAAAATAATCATCCTTATCTTCTAGATTGGTATTATACATCTCGATCTCATGATGCAACTATGAGAGAAGTTGCAACAGAACCGTTTGGAAAAACCGAGTTTCATTTGGGAGAGTATCCACTGTCCTCCAACTCGACTAGGAATGTACCTTACTATGAAGAATATCGTGAAGATCGATTGGCATCTCATCTTGGGGCTTCTACTTTGGCTCCCATCTTTAAGGAAAACCTAATTCAAGATCATAATTTTACAGATCAGTCCCACTCTATCAGAAATCACTGGTGGGCGAGAAGTGGCCCACAGGTTGGACAAGCTCAGACGAGCTTTTTTGAGCCTCCAGAATTTAATTACCGAACATCATGGAATTATCATGATAAATTTTCTGAGAGAAGCTTAGAGGATCCAGAACAAGACTTGGACTGGAGAGACTATCAAAGATTAGCTAAAACAACTTGCCCCGCTGACTTAGAGACAGGGGACTTTAAATTTCATTTTGATGATATCTATGGCAAACCTCCACAAACGGACACCGTTAGTCCAAACACTGCAAGCTTTTGATTGAAGCTTCAGAAGTTTCTGGCTTCCCTCCGGCATCTGGAATGCATGAGTTTCTTAGTTGTAGTTGTCCCTTCTTCCTTTTCAAATGAATCCTGTGTATTCTTTTCTGTGTATAGATAGATACTTTGTTATGATGTCTAGTTGTTACTGAGCCTCAGCTTGAATTTGGAATGTCAGAGGGGTTTGAGGGGCCCTGAGCTGCCTTCCAAGTGTGAAAACAACCCCAAAAATGTATTCATATTGTTCCGTGTTCTAATTTATCCGTCTCGTTCATTTTTCACGTTTTTTCCCTCTTTAGTTGGATTCATTAGGCTTCTCTAACTTAACTGGCAATGCTATTTATACAGTTATATTTTTCCTTTTTAATATGTACAAAATACTGCACACTGATTTGAGTATGTATTGTACCTCTTTCACGGGAGCGGCTTTCTGTGCGACATTTGAATATGCCATAATCATTGATCTTTCTTACACCAATTAGTTTATGCATTTTTCAACAATGTGGACTGCTTGACATGGGAAATTTATGGGTTATCTTGAATCACCTTCAGGGCAAGGAAACCTAGAGTGAGGCTTTTGTTTATGACTGCTTAATTTTCGTTTCAGTCTAAGAAGTTAAGTTTGACTTATCAAACTTCCGTATTTAGCCAGGTTGTGAAATGAGATTATTGGATGAGATATATTGTTAGTGCTGGAATTATTGACTGGATTATAAAATTTGCAAGGAAAAAAGTAGGATATGAACGTTCATTGTGCGTCTTACAGTGGCGAAGAACCCCACCTCTTAGCTGTTATACCGCATTTTCCCATATCCATATGATAGCTCAGAGACAAAAAGAAGGTAGAGATGATTTCCTAGAAAGAGACAGTTCTCATTCATGCTGCTGCTACTCATGGCTTCTCATTATCTTGTGGGTGGGTCCCTCTGCTCTGTATTCTCTTCCTAAATACACATGACAGGAACATGGAAGCAATCATTCGCATTCACTGTGAATGAAGACATGCACCTTCAAATTTAAGCAAATGACACTAAAAAGCAATGCGCCTCTATTCCACCGTCTGACTCACTTCACCATTCCCTATCATTACAAAAGCACTCTATTGTTTTCTGTGCCACTCCTTTCGATTCTAATCCTCCACTTTGAAGATATTAACATTAACAACTGGAAATTAAGAAACAACCAGAAAAAAAAAAAAGGAAACAAAAATATGTTACATCAGACCTCATTCTCCAGAGGAAGTACTGCGTTTTTGGATCCACGACCATAACGAAATGGAAAGAAAGACCTTCGACCTCTGCTGTGAACGTTACTGTCTTCACTCCCACTAGCGTCATTTTGATGCCTATTCGGCTGCTGTGTAATGGCTTGAACTTCCAAGTAAATTTGCCTATCATTTGCAGAATCCATGGAGAAAGATCTCCTAAGTGGCTGAATACAGAACTGTTCATCTTTCTCCCTCGTATCAATGCACTCGTCTCCCATGATGGACACATGCTGCCACTTCCTCGATTTCAGGTGCCCGAGCTTCTGCTGCATCTTCCTCGTGGAGTGACTTCTACTCTGTGCCAGGCTTCCCCCGCTCGACTGGTTTCGTTCATGTTGCCTCAATGACAGCGATCCCCCATCTTCTCCCCACAATTCAATTACCACAAAGTCTTCATCACTGCCCATATTGGAGAGTATTTGAGAATCTTGAGGAGAAGAGCTCGGTGCTATGATATGGTCCAATGGAGGACGCGTGGTGCCAGAAATGCATGATCTGCAAAGAGGACAATTTGCGTTGCTCTGAAGCCAAATATCGATACAGTCCAAGTGAAAAGCATGGCTGCATTTGGGCAGAACTTTGAGCATGTCCTGTTGCTGAAACTCACTCAAACAGACCACACACCCGTACACAGTACTACCACCATGATCCTCACCTTTGACGAACTGGAACGTGGGTATTTCTCGAATGATGGATTCATCAAGGCCACGATTCCACGTGGTGGGGGAGAGAGCTATGAAGGGTTCTTCGCTGTGTCTGGGACGCAGAATGGAAAGCCATGTGAGGGGGTTGAGGTGGTGCCAGTAAGAGCAGCACTTGGCGACGAAAGTGAAGTAGCCGATGAGCAACAGAGCCGTGGCCATGATGCTGAGCACAACGATGGCGAATACGGGAAAAGCAGAGTCCGAGGCAGCCATAAAAGCCAGAGTTCGTGAACGGGAATGCTTCAGGCTTCGATGAACGGGATAAATAACAGGTTTGACTAACGAGTCACACAGATCTTGGTGTGTGAAGACAGTTCTAAAACCAAATTAAATCTTAAGTAAAGCAGTATTATATTATATTATTAGTAAGCGGCATGATCTTTAAGAAGGCTTGCGAGTTGCGGCACAGCCATCAAACGATCACGAATCAGATTAGGAAACGGAAGAGCACGTGGGGTCAGGATTTGACTTTGTGTGGCTTTTCATCTTTCTTTTTCTCATGTTACTTGTCCCTGCCTGATTTTGACTATTCCGCATGAATCGGCTCTTTATCTTATTCTGCAGTTTGAATTATAACAATCTTACAAAATTTAGTGTCACATCTGCGGCCCACCCCCCACCTTACCAAGCACGCTCTGAGATTTATCTTTTTTTTTTCCCCCAGATAATCCTGTTTAAAGCACTATTATCACTAAACGCAGGCACTAAATTTAAACCCTTTCGTTCTGTGTTATGGTCATGGCTCGGTTTTTAGTAAATAAATCAATATGGTTTGTTATACGAATCATATGTCTCTGGCTTAGCTAATTTACTTGTAAATTGATCCTACTGGAATGCCCCGGATAAAAAATAAAACAAAATAAATTGTGGTGTGTCTTTCTGTAGAATGATTATTAAATGTGCAACGCAAGAGATGAAATTATGAGAAATCCATGAACGCACGTGCTGTGGCGTGTGGGAAAAATGTTGGTGTCTAGTGGGTCTTAACTAGCCAGGAGAACGAAACTCATCAACAGTAACAAAGCCAATTAAATTCAAAATATCTGCAAATTAACATGATTTGAAGGAAATTAAATGGGGGAATATAATGCGGAAGAGGGGAGGGTAGTAGTGGAGTGAAGAATGCAAATGAATGTTATTAGCAAAGCTAAGGGTAGCACTCAAGTGATTTAATTCCTCATGGTACAACATGTTGGGACCACAATCTACTCCTTCATTATGCGTGAGGAGTGCTCCCCCATTAAGTACTTTCAGCTTCATTATTTTTGGTTCTGCCAACATTGATGGTATTTGCAAAATGGTTAGAGAAGATGGAAGACGAAGGAACAGGAAAGAGCATGGCTGGTACTGGCCCGTTGCAACATTATACTATAAGCAACTAGAGAAGCCCGCATTTCAACTTATATAACTATAATATATATATGTGTATATATATATGACTGAGTTCAAAACCTGAAATAATGTATCGTAAGCGAAAAGCCATGAAAAGTAAGCTTTGGACAAAGATGAGGAAAATGCAGCGAGGACGAGGAGCTCTGAGTTAGCACTGTTGGAGTTGGTATGGATGGATTGGGTGAAATAAGTAAGCACATATTCCTGAAATGAAATGCTCCACGCCTCGTACTTCTTGATCTGTGCTCCCTTACTATCTTTAATATTCGATTCGACTGCTGTGTATCATATATGGACAAGCTCTGGATTATTTTTGTTCATATAACATTATGAAAGTAATCTCAACGTACCGTAAGTAATTCTAGATGAAGTTGAGATTGTGAGTTAACATGAGAGCAGCAGCATTACTTGTAAGTACACATGTGAGGCTGCCTAAACATGTGTAAATTGTAGTTGATCTTAAAAGTCTGATATAAGATAAAATTAGGGCTCATGATAAAATCTAAAATTTCTGAATCATTTTTGCTGCGTGGGATGAGGATGAAGCGGGACCAGACCAACAAATGAATGCATATCTACTAAATGGGTCATCTGGTGTTGGGCCTGCATGGATCATAGTGAGTCCCATTCTCATCCACATCCAAGGGAGTGTTTGGATAGAAACCAAACCATGATTTCAGAAGTGTTTTTACGGATTACGAAGTAAGTATGTGGAGGAAATTATCTCGTTTTGCGGAAAAGTGCTTCTGAAACCACGGTTTTGGAGCACCCAAACAAGCCCCAAACCACTAATACAAGCACCAACTCTCTTTTACTTTTGTTTGCCCAAAAGCTCATATTGCCAATGGAATTCTAATTATCAACTCAGCCATTCACACACGTGGCATTCCCCCAGGTTATTCGGTTTGCAGTTTATAAATAAATTTTTATAATTAAAATGGAAAGCAATATTATTCTAGAAAACACGGTAGGCGCAGCGTTTCTTTTTCTTTTTCTTTTTAGGATAAACGATAGGTACAATGTTCGCAAAATATATCACCACGGAACTTATTGCCGATGACGCATTGAACAAATCAGCAGAGAAAGAAAAAAGAAACAGCAAACTGATAACAAATCTGCAAAACAAAATAATGTTTCACTGAGGAAAGTGAGGATGGCCGTGACCTTGTTGGAGGAGTTCATCCAGCAAGTTGTTGTCCAAGTATTCCAACTCTACGGCGCCGTCGGCGTCGGGTGGCGGGATTCTCGAAGACGAAGAGGAAGAAGAAGAAGAAGGCAGAGGCAGAGGCAGTGAAGAAGTGGGAGGATGAAGGGAGTGATGGTCGTTGGGGAAATTGAGAATAGCTCGGTGACCCCTGAAATGGAAGGCGGCGGCGTCGTAAGCCCTGGCAGCCTCCTCGGCGGTGTCGAAGGTTCCGAGCCAAATGCGAGTCCCTTTGCGGGTCGGGTCACGGATCTCAGCGGCAAACTTACCCCACGGCCTCCTCCGTATGCCTCTGTATCTCACCTCTCCATTACCATTCTTATTCCCACTCCTCATCCCCTCTTCCATTGATTATATTAATTCTCTGTGATTGTTACGTTAGCTTTGCCTGCGGGTAACACTCAGACGGCAACACCTGGTGTCTGTATATGTATATATAGGGGCCACCTTGTCTTTGCGAGACGTATAAATGGGCCATATAGGTTGACCAGAGGAGGACGGTCGTATCTGACGGTTTGAATTTCAACTGCTAACCAATTGTATACTATTATTGTGGATTGAAGTGCGTTGAATTGGAGCGCTTGCAGAGATTCGACGGGGCATTAAACAAAATATTTAAGGAGGAAAGATGGCCCCACTGGGGCTATGGCCCTTGTCTCTATCCCTTTCTTCGTTTTTCTTGCAATCGAAGGCTCAACGTGCACATCGTCAAAACTATTTACAAATGATAGTGATTGGACCAAACCACGAAATAATAAAAGGATAATAAGGCAATCATAGATAACTGGTTTCAATGCTCGTAGTATTCATCAAATCTCAAGTTTAATATAAATAGTTAAAATTTAATATTTAATATTTTTATTTTTTAATAGTTATATGATCTAAAATAAATGTAATATCTTTTTTTCAGACTGAAAAATGAATGTAATATCTTAACTGTAAGTTTTTTAAAAAAATAATTTTTTTATTTAAAACCACTAGTTAAAAATTTTAAATCTATACTGTTAAAACTGATTTTAAATGGTTTAGGTTTTACTGTAGTAATGAGTATCATAGTGCTTATTACTGTGATAAGTACTGAAACTAAGTATGTTTTGAATAAGCAATGAATGCAGTTTCGCCTTCAGTAATCAATAATCAATAGTCACAGCTAAAATAAAGAAGCAAAACACAAGCATGAGATCGATCGGAAGCTCCAACCTATTGATTTGCTGTTCAGTTCCCTCTGGAACTTATGATATGGATATGAACAACCAGGCGTTTCGGTCATGGAAGTTACGGCGAATTCATACCTTAATTTCATGAGCTCAATAAAGTGTGTCTCATGACCTTGTAAAATAAAAAGTCCTCCTTCAATCTTTACTGTAAGGCATACTTAACTAAGTTGATTAGATTAAGAAAATTAGATAAATTAGTTAAGTATAAAAATATAACATGTTTTTTTTTAAACACTATAATCATCTTTCTTAATATTTTCCTCGTCTCCTACTTGATTATATTTGATGGAATATCTATAAAGATAAATTAGAAAAGATTTAACATTTAGAACCAAATTCAACTCAACGATTAAATCATAAAGACATGATAGATCATACATTAAAGACAGGACGAGCATAACAAAATATACAATTCATTATATATTATTCAATGACACTTGGCGTGTGATATTGATGTGAACTTTTAGTCGCCTTCAAATTTATGAGAACTGTTTCGGACATTTTAATTAAAATTTATGTATTAATTTTCTAAACTAGAATAGGGATCCTACATTACCACTCACATAATACCGAGACATGATATTAATCACCACCACGTAGTATGAAAAATCTTGTCGTCTCGCTCTAAACCAGGACAACCATAAAAGGAAACGAAACCAGTTTTGATACCTATCACAATGATAATCACACGATACTTATCGTTTTAGTGAAATCTACACTATTTATATATAGTTTTAATAGTCTAAATTTAGAATTTTTAACTAACAATTTTTTTAAAAAAATTTACAGTTAAAATGTTGCATTTATTTTGGATTTTGTACCTATTAAAAAACCCACATTTTAGAAAATAAAAATATAATAAATTATATCTTGTCCATAGTAAATCTCAACAGTTGAGATTTGATCATGATGGTTATCACTATAACGAGCATCAAAATGAATTCCGAAAGGAGACTGATTAATTGATTATTTATTGATCTGGCAGTTTTTGTTAGCGTGCCCCGTCCTTGCAACTTCCATATTTGGGACATGTTGTTGTGCAGTTTCTCCTTCCTTCACCTTTACCACTTGCCAAGAATACTCGGGGACAGTATTATAACTCCCACAACTTTTTTTTTTTGGGGGCCAAAATAAAACATGGTCCCAACAAATATAAAAGATAATAATCAATTATATGATTAAATTACAAAACACTTATCGATGTTGATATATCCACATAAAATAGCACCTGGATATCCAGATATATATTCAATGTGCCTGACTTGACTCAATCCATCACAAAAGACAGTAGCTATTAATTTAGGAAAAAACAATCTACAAACTTTACAGTTTCATCCAATCTATAATCAAGTCCCTGTAATTTTTTAAAAATATTTATCAGTCGCCTGAAATTATGAAAACGCAATTAAAAATCTGGTGAGAGCTTAAGAAGCTCACAGAAAAAAAAATGACAGGAATCTGATTAACATTAATGAAGTGTAATGTACAAAAACTTGCGGATGAACTTTTCTATTGAGAGTTTGTATTAACGAGTAGGTGAAACCCCCCCCCCCCGGGGGGTTTGGCCTGTCATCATAGAGGCGTTGGAATGAGGTACGCGTGCCAATGCTGAAGAAATTCAAAGGCAATAAAATAGTATTTGTTTGCTGTTTAATTATTTATTTATTGCAGTCTTCATTCTTTATCCGATGACTGCTTAGGCAACCAGGGAAAACTAATTTTATCCACTCCACTTTTCTTCCTCATCTCCAAACAACTTAAAATGTTCCCCGGTTAATTGCAAATTCTAAGCGCCCAGTCAATCTGACTCGTTAATAATTGACATGTTTTAATATTCCTTTTTATCACTTACCTGATTTTGCCGCCAATAACATCCACGCAACCATGACTTCAAACTTCACGGCTCTAAAATACCTTTTCCTTTTTAGTTTTTAAATTTAAAAAAATAAAAGCAAGCTGCCAGAAAAAAGGGAAAATTCCATAATTCTCATCTTGCATTTATTCTTAAAATGTTATTTGCTTCCGCCATTCCGTTAATAGGATGCTATATCGTTGGCAAAAAAAAAAAAAAAAGATGCCATATCACTTAATTGAGTGTTTTTTGGGGACCAAATTCCCCTTGGCTTCCACAGAGATTCATTTATAGTACTACCTCCGATCCTAATTATAAGAACTGGTTGACTAATTTGAGGAGATTAAAGAAGTAAGTTGAGTTAGTTATTTGTCCTAAATAGGTGTTGTCTTTCCTAAAATATCCTTGCTAATCAAGAGTATTGACTAGAATTATTATTGTTGAAGGGCTATTTTGAAAAGATATATATAAATATGAGAGATAAAGTAGATTAAGGTTTTATATTTAGGACCAAAATAAAAGATAAAAAGGATCTTATACTAAGGACCGGAGGTAGTAATATCATACACACATATTCAGGCCTAAAAAAAAAAAGAACATATATGTTTTTATTAAAATTTTTATAAGTACGTTTTTTCAAATAGGCAGTAACTTTTTAGATCTCAATTCAGCTTGATATTTTTTTTATGTTGATTATATTTTATTTAATGATACTTTCAAACACATTTAATTGAATATTTTTATGCTCCTAGTGATTTAACATAATGTTAAATTCGAAGAATCGGATCTATTAGCGTGAAGTGCGTGTGTGTATTGTGTATAACAAAACACCTACCAAATAAATAAAACAAAGATTAATGTGGCAAAAAATTATATAACCTTGATTTTAAAAAAAAACTACCCACTAATAACCCTACTTTTACCACCAACATTCTTCCCCTCGCAGTTCCCCGAAGCTTAATATTTTTTTGGGGTTATTTTTAGGCATTATTTATTGCCTCCATTTTCCTCTGTATCACTTCAGAAAAATCAATGATCAAAATTATATCATTTAATCTGTATAGACCATAAAAAACCAATTGGTTAAAATCTAATTCTGGGGCTGGAATAGTGGAACTGGTGGACGCTTAACCCTTATTTTAAACTCATCTTCAGTTGAGATCCATTGATATACCAGTACTAAAATTATAACATGTACTAAACCACAACAGAATTAACGCTGTTTTTTTTTTTTTTTGGGTACAAAGAATTATCGATGTTGATGATACAGTGGCCTTCATGCTTTGTTCTTGCCGGGCCCCACCTAATTAATGTTCTATTTATGTGTGCGGACCCTTTTAGTGGGACCTCGCCCTTCATGACTGTCTCGCTGTCCTGCGTCTTAATTTCCGCCTGCGATGCGCCCAACAAATTTGAGAATATAATGCAGGATAATGATAGTTAGATTGCTGACATTTCTAAATGCACTGTAAATAATAATTTAAATAATTATACACAAAGAATTTAATTAAATTTCAAATGTAACCCAATAATTCGCAATTGATATGTTCCCGTTTTTAATTGTTGAAACCGATATTTATAATTATCTTTTCAAAATCAGAAACTTGGTAACTTTCATTAATTCGTTTGTCTGAGACCCAAATGTCATTCTTCCAACATACACGCACAACTTTAAAGAAATTCTACATCTATATAAAAACATTAGGTAGATTCAACATTGGTATTACATACATTGTTGAGTTCAATTACATAGAAATATTTCAATGCGACTTTGATCCACTCAAATTTTGAATCCTCCATTTTACTTTAACAGATGCATATATATATATATTTACCGAGACAACTTGAAGAATTTATTCAACTGATGATGTTTTATTAATCATCAAACTCTTATGACCAAACCCAGAAAAGGAAAAAAATTTCGAGCTCGAGGCTTGAAGTAATTCTTGTAAATCACAAAAACAATTGCGTGTAAGCCTTTCTTTCTGAAGTCTGAACAGTGAGTTAGCAGATATTTGAATGAACAAGTCACTAAAATTTAAGGACAAGTTACGATGCATTAATACTTTGCATGCATGCTCGGCCCCTAACAACTCTCGCAGTAATTACATGAAAGACAAGAGGAGAGGAATCTAGAGATATTATTCAACATGGAATCACAGTGACGTCACATGTCTTGACTTTCAACTTTGAATATATATATATATATATATATATATTATAATGTAATTAAAATCCAGACGATCTGATTGACCAACTCATATTCTTGTCCCCCACCTCCCCCCAAAAAAAAAAAAAAATTGATAAATGACCACACCGATTGAAAGTGAATTGCCAAATATCTGCCTAGTTGCAGAGGGTGCATGCATTGCCCTGCTCCTTTCTAAATAAACAATGCCCATTGCATTATTATTATTAGCCAACTTGTTCATACTTTAATCACTACTCTGTCCCGATATGCTTTCCTTTCCAGGTTTAAAGAATTCGTTCAAAGTTTTTTCTCCCTTCTCCTCCTCCTCTTCAATTATTGCGACGCCACTATTCTTTTTCTTGATTTTTTAGTTTTTTTATAAAGTTATTAATATCCATAACGACACAAAGCAAGATCGTTCTGATCGATGGAAGGCTGCGCTCTATATATATATGTATATGCTGTATGTAATTAATAATCCAAGCACATTGTTAATAAATTAGAGCGGGTCTTTGTTAATTACGAAATTTAATTATTCGTGTTTGCATGCCTATGATTAACACATGTGCGCTATGTAAAACAAAGGACTTTATCTATGAGAACTTGAAGATACTGAGGGCTTCACAGCCGGTATTCAAGCATTTATTCTTACAAGTTACATACACTTAGATGATTGAATCCATGGAAGGCTGTTATTGACGGGTTTTTTAAATCGTCTCCGTTCTCAGATCAGCGCCTGCTGCATAAGATAAGAATGGAAAAGAAAATTGGCATGGGAAAGCATTGTTTTTATGAATATTATTTTGTTATCAATTAATTAAAAGATATTGTTACGAAGACGACGATTGCAGCTTCAGTAACACACAGAATGAAGATTTTTGTGGAGAATTTGAACTTCTCGTCGTTCAATATTCTTTGGAAGTTACAGGAAGTTTAAGGGAATAATCGGTTAAGATCGGGCTGCGCTAGGTGAACTTACTTAACGAAGGTTTCATGTTCGCATTCCCGAGTGCTGGGGTAAATAACGTCAATGTTTTTTTTTTTGGGCATAAAAAAAACATTATTTGAAAATTCAGATAATGATACCAAAAATTACAATGAATAATAATTTGATACATATATTATTTCGAAAAGAAATAATCAGTACAAAGGAAAAAGAATTTATTCTAGAAGATTAACGGATTAACTATAAAATAATGGGAAGGCTGAGCGTAGGGCTTACGAATGATTCAATTCAACAGAGGCGTAAGCTTTGTAACCATTAGGAGCTGCCCACGTTGCTATAATGTTTGACTCACGTGCGAATTAATCAAGACTGTACGCTTCCATTTTTAATTGCTTCCTTCTTTATTTTGCCAACCCATAATTTTTAATTACTTCCTAATCCTAGCGTTAACGGGATTTAGCCCTCAGGTCTCGTTTCCTTTCCATTTTCGCCCATCGATGACGATCACACAAACTAAACACATCCTCCCTTGCCAATAATCACGATTTTCTCTTTCCTCTTCATTTTTTCTTTTTCATTTAATAAATCACGGGTTTCCGAGTCCAGTGACTTGGCATCGTTTTCCTAGCTTTGGGAGTGATCTGTATAAAAGGAAGTGAGTGGGTTGTGCGGTGGCTCAAGTCTAGCCACCAACATGGATTTTCTTCTGTTCCAAAACCAAGAGCCATCCCCTGTAAATTCCAATTCCTCTGTTTCCGAAGAATCATTTAGTTGGGAGGACTTCTTCACCTTCAACTCCAGTGACTACTCATCTTCCCAATCCAATTCCGTGGGAGGAATCGAATCTCAGGAAGTATCCTCTCAAGTGCAAGTCACAAATACTAAAGCATGCTCACCACCACCACCACCAAAAGAGCAAAGCAGTGGCAACAGTGGCGGCAAGAGAGAGAAGAGGCCGTACAGAGGAGTGAGGAGGAGGCCGTGGGGGAAGTTCGCGGCGGAGATAAGGGACTCGACGAGAAATGGGGTGAGAGTGTGGATCGGAACGTTTGATACGGCGGAGGCGGCGGCTTTGGCGTACGACCAGGCGGCTTTCTGCACCAAGGGATCAATGGCGGTGCTGAATTTCCCGGAGCAAGTGGTGAGGGAGTCCCTAGAGAGGATGGCGAGTAAGCCATGGGAGGAAGATTCGTCTCCTGTGCTGGCCCTCAAGAGAAAGCATACCTTGAGGCCAAGGTCGTCGTCGTCGTCGTCCTCCTCCGACCCTAAAAGACCCAGAAAGAATAACAGCTCCTCCGGGGACGCCCATGCCTCCAACAACGTGCTCGTCTTGGAGGATCTGGGGGCTGAATATTTGGACCACCTCTTGAGCTTGACCTCTTCTGAGTTTGGTTCCTAGCACTTGTTAATTTCTTTCTCACTTTCAATTCTTTCATCGCTTCTTCTGAGGGAGGCATAATGGGGCTAAACCCTGTCATTATTGCCCCAAATTCGTTAATAAAAAGCAAGTCATTTCCCCCCCTCTTTTTAACTTTTTGCATATTATTCATTACACAAACTAATTGGGTATTTAGCGGCAATGCCCCGGAACAAATTATAAGAACCGACCATACTTTTTCCTCTCATCATAAATATATTTACTCCGCTATATATTGGTGTAATATAAATCAAGTAATAAACGCCAGCGTTATAATATATTACCTCCAATTCTTAATATAAAAGTTCATTTGATTTTTATTACCTATAATCCTAAATATAAAATCCCAATCTATTATATTTATCCATTTTTCTCAACGTAGTCCTTGTAATAATAGTAGTTCTAACTAATACACTTGATTAACAAAAATATTTTAGAAAACACGACAATTATTTATTATGAATAACTAATTTAACTAATTTTTTTAATCTACTTCAATTAGTTAATTAGCTCTTATATTAAGTACCAGTAATAATATTAAACATGCTCACAATTTTTCTGGGGGAAAATTCTTCAATAATAGTAACTAAGTTTTAAATTCTCAATTGTCAAGTTAGGTCGCTAGAATACATTTGTGGCTGGGCAGATTGACATATTCAAAAGAGATTATAGCATTCATGTTACCAGCTTGGGAAGAAATTCAGTCTCTATTGTGCTTATTCAGTGGGGCCGAATATGCGCCCAGCCCCACTTGGGCCAACCAAAATTTTTCCCCGGCGGCTATTTTTGGTATCGGGGGGCGGGGGGAGCCAAAAAAGGCCAACGATAACAAAACAACGTCGCCCCCTAGACAAATATATGCTATATACATCGCACTCAATAAGAGCACTGGGGTCCATTAAGAGAAATTTGTAATCTATGAAAACCAACACCCAGATTTAAAGTATACTTTTTTTTATATATTAAAAGTATACTCATTTTGTTCTATTTATAAATTACTTGTAATGTATTTCATACAAATAAAAAAAAACTTAAATTTTATTAACTCATTTAAAAGTCAACAATTTTCTAACTTTATTCTTATATAATATACATTATATCTCATGTAAACAAAGTCAATTTAATAATAAAAAAAGTGTGAAATTGTACATACATACAAAAAATTTCTCTCAGTGTCTTATAAATAGAATCAAAAAATGATTTTTCTCTTTGCCTTATAAATAAAACTAAACGAATAACTAGCAAGTGCTCGGCACACTGTTAGAAGTTTTACTGTGAAATGGATTTAACTTGATGTGAGCAAGCAGGCAAGAAAACTATAAACTTAATTACCATTTTAACTTTTTTGGATTAAAATGTGGTGTTTTTGTTTTTGGATGCAAAACGCGGTGTTGAGCCTATTGATATGTATCTTTTTTTATTTATTATTACTGTAAGTGGTGTTAAGGATCGTGATGATAATAAGGGCTTGCTGGCAGCCCACTTAACATTTTTGTACTTTATGAGGTGAAATTTTATTCACACATATATTTGTGTTGGATAACACAATTACTTAAAATTGATCAAACTGCCCATAGTATTATTATACACACGCACACACATGACATTTCACATTGGTAATTCGTTTTTTTTTTTTTTGAATGATAACTAGAGAACACGTATCAAATACAAAATTACCATCCCAAACTAACAAGCCTTACTCTTCTTGATCACCATCCACCCCAGAAATATTGGGAGGAGGGCGATCAAAGAGGCAAAAATTGCCATCAATCCTATGAGAGTACTTGGCTAAATGATCTGCTAAAAGAATCAACTCCCTGCCTACACGAAAAAAAATGGTTCGCGAGTCTCTATTAATAAGTAGCTTGACTTCATCCACCTTTAATTAGCTGGTTCTGGTCTGCGTGTTTACCGAGGCCGATGTGTTCTGTTGTCATCCGCCAATATGGATAATAATGCGGGCTACGAATGAAACCCCCAGTTATATCAGGTTTAGATTATTTAATATTTTATTTAGATGGTTTAGATTTAATTTTTTTTTATTTTTATTTTTTTCAACACAATTATTTTAATAGCTATATAATGAAAATCATTTTTTATTTAAAAATAATTAATCAAAAAATTTAAAATCCAAACAACTCAAATGAAATCTAAATAGTACAATAAATGTAATAATTTGACATTGCTCATGAGCACTGAAACTACTGGTTCTCAATATTCAAAATTTTGAAGGATTCAAGAGAGTTGAGAAATCCGAGGTGGGTGCACTTTCGAGTTTAGGCTGGTCGCCTTAACCGAAATCACATCGTATATATGAGGCGCGGCGGGGTATATATGTGACCACAAGGTTTGTGATTTTTAAGCTGATCATCATTTATTCCAGGCAACGCCTTCGTTTGTGTTCTTTTTGAAAGGGATGGCCTCCCTGTCTGGCAGCGTTGGAATATATGCACATCATCGGACCTTATTGTTGTTTGGTAACTTTTTATTTACATTTATTGTTGTTATATGCATATATAATAACATACATACAAAATAAGTTTGTTATAAGTCTAGTTGTCAAAATGCTATATGTTTTTAATGACATAATTTGTAAAGCTATAAATGATCTGAAAATATATCAGGCTTTAGTGTTGAATAGAAAAACACAGCGACTCAACCATGAAAATATTTGTTTTTTTGGTTCAGATTGAGATGGTAATGAATTCAGTGGATAGTCCGACTAGTTGGATCCTCCAGGGGAATTCTTTGGTCACTGTATATGCATGGAAGGGAAAGGACGATCGTGGGAGGGGATGGGATGGGGATACTAGCCAATCAGAGAACGAAAGGTGGGCATATAGTGAAATGAGAGTTGCCAATTGCCATCACACCCCTCTTTTCGCACATGACCTATTCTCGAATCTTCATTTTGCAGCCAAACAACTAACTCACTCTCTCTCTCCCCAGTCTCATCCACCAAAATTACATTTCCACGAACAATCCACTGACTAAAATTCATTTATTATAAATTTATCATCCACCAAAATCAATTAGAACCCACCAAAAGCATGGGAGAGGTGTAAATTAAGGAGATTCCATATCATGGAACGAGCGAGGAGAAACGTAAGCTGGACTCTGTAATTATAATACGTAATGTGTGTTTAGTCAGGAAAGAAGATCCGCGTCAAAGGCAAGGCGGAGAACACGATAAGAAGGGGAAGAGGCGTTTGGGCATTAGTCTTAATTAAATTGAAACGAAAACAAAGTAGGAGTGGCTAATTAATAGTCTCCGTTCCCATGTGTTCCCCTTCTACACTTAATTCCCTCAACCATTTAATTATAATAATTTTAATAACTCAACTAATATATGAACTCTCTCTCTCTCTAACTTAATATTGTCCGGGGGATTTAATGATATGTGGGAAGGGACGAAGACGCGATGATTGCTGAACACATGGCAAATACTGTACTAGTAGTAAGCAGCAGTGGGAGTGGAAGGAAGCGACGTCGTAAAGGGAGGAGTGAGTGGGGCGAAGAGAGGGGGGCGAAAATGGTGGGCAGTATATGCCCGTGGAATATCTCAGGAGCTGTTCCTATGAATATAGTATGGCTTTCTATAAATGCATCCCCATTCTTCGCGCTTCTTTTCCCACCGCACCACTTTCTCTCCTCTTATACTCCACTCCTTTTGCACTCCCTTCTCTGTTTCCTCACACTCCCACCAGGTACGCACCCTCCTTTACTCTTTCCGTTTCATCTTCTCCATATATACTCGCATTCTCCCCCCCCATGCACGCCATCTGTATTCCCATGCTTGCCCTTGCATTCTATATTTATATATATATATATATGTGCCTCTTCTGTTCTTTTTCATGTATGTTTACTGGCCGGCTGTTTGTTTCTTCGGAAACGTTCAGGAGTTTTCATGATTTTTCATTTCAGTTCCCTTTCTGCTTTTCTAGCCCCGTCCTCTTGGTGGTAACATTTGGTACGAAGCAAATAAAAACGGAATACGAATTGAAATTAAGATTGAAAAAATAATATTTAGTGTAAGTATGATTAGACAGATTATATGTGTGGGATTGAGAAGGGAAGTGGTATTCTTCAATCTTATTTTTATAGATTTGTTTAATCTCATGATAAATAATTACTCATGCTAAATACTTATTTAATACTTTTTTAAAATTATAATCTCAATCCCTATTTTTTATTTTTTAATGCTTCGTACCGAAGGGGAGCTTAGTTTTCAACCGCCCCGTGTTCTTCCTTCCGCTAAAAACCACCGTCGCATTGTGTTCTGAATCTAGAAGCGTCGTGGATCATGGCATTTTCTTACCCGTTTATTAAACCATGAATTTCGGATCTTTTCCCGGTATTTACCTCAGTGATCCGTTGACACGTACATGTCAGTTGGTAATTAAATCTTTACTTCCCATTAGTCTCGGCTGATCCGCATCTACTTCTCAACGAACTCATGATTATGCAGAGAACGAAGCTCGTGACTAGAGCTGCCGATCATGGCAGGAGATGAGGCACAGGTGCTCAATGCACTGGATGTGGCGAAAACACAATGGTACCATTTCACGGCCGTCATCGTGGCTGGAATGGGCTTCTTCACCGACGCATATGATCTGTTCAGTATATCCCTGGTCACCAAGTTACTTGGCCGCGTATACTACTACGTGGAAGGTTCGCCCAAACCCGGTACTTTGCCTCCTAATGTGGCAGCCGCCGTCAACGGCGTCGCGTTCTGCGGAACCATCTCCGGTCAGCTCTTCTTTGGGTGGCTCGGGGACAAATTGGGGCGCAAAAAAGTGTACGGCATGACTCTCTTGACGATGATCGTATGCTCTATTGGTTCGGGCCTCTCTTTTGGACACACGCCAACATCTGTGATGGCCACTCTCTGCTTCTTTCGATTCTGGCTCGGTTTCGGTATTGGCGGAGACTACCCTCTTTCTGCTACCATCATGTCAGAGTATTCGAGCAAGAAGACGCGGGGCGCCTTCATTTCCGCAGTTTTTGCGATGCAGGGTTTTGGAATTCTGGCTGCTGGTATCTTCGCCATCATCTTGTCCGGTGCGTTCAAGTCCAAGTTTCCAGCTCCAACTTACGAGGTTGATCCAGCAGGTTCAACTGTCCCGCAAGCAGATTTCGTGTGGAGGATAATGTTAATGGCGGGAGCTGTGCCTGCTGTTTTGACTTTTTACTCGAGGATCAAGATGCCTGAGACTGCTCGTTACACTGCACTCGTCGCCAAGAACGCTGAGCGGGCTGCAGCTGACATGGCTAAAGTTCTTCAAGTGGAAATTGCATCGGAGCAGCCTAAGGAGGAGGAATCTAATAGGGTTAAGTCGTACGGGATGTTTTCCAAGGAATTCTTGACTCGTCATGGGCTTCATTTGCTGGGAACTACAAGCACATGGTTCTTGCTTGACATTGCATATTACAGCCAAAATCTGTTCCAGAAAGATATATTCAGTGCCGTTGGTTGGATTCCTCCGGCCAAGACCATGAATGCCCTGGCGGAGATGTTCTTTATCGCAAAGGCTCAAACACTGATCGCTCTCTGCGGTTCTGTTCCGGGGTACTGGTTTACAGTGGCGTTCATTGACAGAATAGGAAGGTTTTGGATTCAACTGGGTGGGTTCTTCTTCATGACCGTGTTTATGTTTGCTCTTGCCATTCCTTATGACCACTGGACTCATAGGGAGAATAGAATGGGGTTTGTGGTGATGTATTCCCTCACCTTCTTCTTTGCCAACTTTGGGCCTAATTCTACGACATTCGTTGTGCCGGCAGAGGTTTTCCCGGCAAGATTCCGATCCACTTGCCATGGCATATCCTCGGCGTCCGGCAAGCTGGGTGCTATTGTGGGTGCATTTGGGTTCTTGTATCTGGCACAGAGCCAGGACCCGAGCAAGACAGATGCAGGGTATCCTCCAGGGATTGGAGTGAGGAATTCGCTCATTGCGTTGGGTGTCGTTAGCGTGCTGGGATTCTTCTGTACTTTCTTGGTGCCCGAGACGAGGGGAAGATCTTTGGAGGAAATATCCGGTGAGAATGAAGACCTAGAAGCAAGCTGATAAATGCAGAGTACCGCAATAGGAGTCTTGTTATTTCGATCAACCCTTTCCGTTCTTTTTATGCCTGGCTATCCCATTTTGGCTCTGGAGATGAGAAACCCCTTGGGTCTGCAAATTTAATAAACATTTTCCCCATCACTGTTCTGTTCCCACGTGTTTTCTCTCGCAATCTTGTCTCTTTCTGCACAAATCCGCCTGGGTTAGAATGTTTTCTACATGCTCGTTTGAATCCAAGTGAGGATAAAATCAGCAAATGAAACCAAAACAGACCACTCGCTCACACTGCCTCCCACTTCATCTTGCGAGTTTTCACCCAGATATGCATACTCTTGAATCTCGGCTAACTTGAACGCGTGAAAACACATAATGGCTGCTGCAACAAATTTTTTTAATCTATTTGAGCCAGGCATGCGTTGCCTAAGAACAGGGCAAAGGGACAAGAATTAAGTTTGAGAACATAACATTTTGCACAACCAAACATGGTGCATCCCAGAAGCATTGACTAAAGAGACTTTAATATCATTTCAAGACTGCATAGACAAATAATCTCAACGGCACATTCGCAGTTTCGGCTTTTTTATTCCATCACTACTCTCAAAAGGACATATAATTGTGTTTGTGGACCCATTGCCAGTACATTCGTTGCCCCTGCTGCAAGTTTCCTCGCAAGATTCCAGTCCGCGTGCCAAAGAATTTGTTCGGCTTCATAGCAGCTAAAAGCCATGGTGCCTGAAATAGGGGTTCCGCTACAGTATTCGTGGGTTGGAATTCATTCATCGTTCAGGTTGTAATAATCTCTCGAGTTCCAATGAGCATATAGATACTACAGGACCCCCCCCCCCAAAAAAAAAAGAAAACCAAATCATTTAACATTCTGTTAGCCATTGTAGGCACTGATCTAAATTACCCAAGGACCCCTCCCATTGATTCTTAAGAGCGTTAAAGTTTTCAAGGAGTTTCAACGAAAAGTCATACGAATCATATTCTTTTCACTTCGATATGAGTCGTATGACCTGCTGTGCTCTGCAGTCATCTGACGGAGCAAAAAGGTCTTTCAATATATAGACGCTCCGCATTCTCTCAATTATTCTGAGAGTTACCACCACGTCTTATAGCTTTAAAGCCAACCTTAGTCTTCCATAAGCATCTATTGAGGGAAATAAAATTCAGATTTCTTCTTCTTTACGAGTATCTGGTCTAAACACCAGACTACTATAATATTATGCATATTATGTTCTTCAATGTTGAGTTCACTGAGAACAGTCAAGCAAGCTGTAATTTGTAGCAACAACTGAAACAAGCCCTGTGTTTCATATCTAAAGATAATCATATCCCTGCGGCTATATGGGCTATACGCTTTACACATGATAAAGCATGGAAAGTAGCTCATTGGAACAAGTAGCAAAGAAAACATAAACATTTCAATGTGCACGTTCTTTGAGCACTTCAAGATCCATTTCTGTAGGGTCAGTAGCCTGGATTTCATAGTGGACACCATCTAGTTCACGTCTAAACCTGTCCTTAGATGTGGCATACAGCATCTTGGAACGGATTCGAGAGGTTGAAGGGGACCTGATAAAATATCACGTAATTAATAACTAAGGATGATACCGCAATGACATATGCATGGAAAGGAGCTTGCAATCACAACTATAACAGGACGGGCGACCAACCCTAGTGAAATATACATATGATAACTAAAATAACCGATGTAACAAAATTTAGGAAAGTATTGGGGGTAAATAAACAAATACTACGCAGACGTCATAGACAATAATTAGTGAGAGCAGCCTTTCTAGCTGTTTCCACCAACACCTAGGTGGAAACATTTAAAACCTATACTTGACATGTAGGAATCTGACTCAAACCATAAATATTTCACTCAGGTTTCTTGGTACTCAACAGCACACATTCCAACTAATGGCCAAAGTCTTCAAATTAGGTTAGGCACAGGCCTCAAGTCCCAAGAACAAAGTAGTCATGAAGAAGTCCGTATATTAAGGGTTGTAGATGCAGCAGTTACTAATGATGCTAGTCGACAGCCCTATCTGAAATGTATATGCTTAAGTTCACACCTAAAATGCAGAAGAGAATGGTCCCGGACAAATTGATGTCGGACAACAGAAAATAAAATCAAATGGAAAGTTTCAGATGCAGAAATCATTTTTTTTTGGGGGAGTGGGGGGAAGCCTAAGTATACTGAAATAGGAAGTCATAACTTTGAAAAAACAGCATCAAACCAATAATAATATATTTAGCCCTAGATTGTGAAACTGATGAATACATGGCATCATCATCAGAAAACTTGCAAAGAATGCCAGCATAGCAAATATTGCATGGCAAGTAATTTCATCCTGCAGAGCACAACAAATATAGCCAATAGGTCATTTGTGCTGCAGGAAAATGCATTCTTTGCACAGGGAAAATGCATATTAGACCCAAATGTTAGTGGCTATTTCTCCATGACATCACTAATTACTTGTGCAGTTGGTGGCTTGGTGCGGTGCCCTTAAAAAGTTACAGTTTTCTAAAGGAAAGACAGAAAGAGAAAGGCATGTGATAAACTAACCATGCAATGAAGAAAATTTTACTCTTTTGACAGTTTTCGGAAGTCACAAAATCAAAGTCATAAACAGCATATCTGCAATCATTCTCGGGCAAGGATGCGGTGAAATCATCGTAGTTCTCAGCTGGACTACCAGTCTTCTCAACCACCACCTCTCTTTTCTTTTCGTCAACCTTAAAGATCACATATCGATATACCTTCTTCCGCTTCAATTCCATAAAGGTGTTTTTGCTGTGATCAGCTACACCCATGCCCGATGAAGCATTTGGCTGAAAGCAAAATGAATGGGTCAAAACTATAGGTAATAGGTTGATTTGTAGTAAAGCAGACAAGCAGCAAAGTTGTATGAGGAGCTGCGAGAACTATCTACTTGTTGTGGGTGGGATGTCATAAATTAATACAATTCCCGGGTCACTTCAAATTAATTTCACAAATTGCTTTCCAGCAGAAAAGTAACAACAATCAAGGAATCAATGGTCCAAACTGCGTTGAAAAACAAAGAGCATGAAACCAAAGCAATATCAAATGAAAGGTGAAAAGTAGCCCTGACAGGCTGAACTAAGAGCGAAGTTTCGAAGTTGAGCGATTTATTGTTCCATCAAAATTCTCCTAAAGGAAATCGATGCGCAATATATACAGTCTTGCAGCATTAAAAGAATCTGATGGTCGCTGGAAATCCACCTATCAATTTTCTGAGAAAGCTTAGAGTAATATCAGAACGAACAGGCTTTAATAATCGCAAATATCTCATAACAGAAAACCAAGTTATATCTCCAGAGACATGATTTGCCAGAATCAAACAACCAGCGAGCGCGACGAACTAATAAATAAAAAGTAGACATTCTTTACCCGGCTTAGCGCTCTGAAAGACATTGCTGGCAGCAAAAAATAAAAGTAGCAAAAGCTATGACGAAGAACAGAAAACTTCGAGTTGAAGATATACAGAGAAGAAGAAGAAGAAGAAAAATAAAACTCGGAGAGGTGAGGAAGCCCCCCACGAAATGACTAAAGAATACAAAGAGTCAAGGGAAGGTTTTAACTTCTATGAGAAAAACAGAGAACGAATCCGCTAGATGGTTAAATGCTGTGGAACTAGAACGCAACCAAACAAGAAAATCTAAATTGGAAATTTATCCAAAATATTAAAGAGAGGGACGGTGCGTCGTAGCAACGCAAAGCGAAATTTGATGCAGTGGAATTGAGGGATGTTGACCCCGCAATTGCTGTTATCTCTACTTTTCGTGGGTCGGTGGGGACCATCAGCCCATACCAATCAGATACGGCCACATCTATTATGACGTTCCCCATAAACGAATCTCCACCGTCCTTGGGCCCCATCCATCACCCCATGAGACGAGCCCACAACCCTTCTCCATCACGCGCTCCGAATTCCAGTCGCCGCATATCTCAACATTTTGTTTCCTTCGTTCCAATGCGTATCTCACCATTGAATGATATTAATAATTAATAACTTTTTTAAAGTCATCGATCCATATTAAGTTACTACTCCCATATACATTTAGTTTGTGGCGTGCATTTGCACAATATTTCGTATCAGCCTATCAGATGTTCTTATTCATAAAACACATATTTACGGAAATACCGTCTCTCTAAAATTAAATAAAAACACATAATGACCTTCTATGAAGCAAGTAAGAGAACTTATGTCCTGAAAATATTGAAAATTTATCAAAAAAGTAGTTTTTTTTGGGTCATGAGACTTCCCTTGCCATAAAAGAATATCTGTAAGGATGAGAGGAACAAATAAGATAGCTAATTAAAAAAAAAATGAAAAATTTGCCTCAGCACTTTAAATATTAAGGATTTTAGATCCTTTGAATAGTTTAAATTTCGATATATACATTTTTATGGTAAACTATATGTACATTTTTTTTTTAAACTATATAATTTATTTCTTGGTACAAAAGAGGGCTTAACCCAGAGTAACTCTAACTCGGGGATTAAAGGCCAGGCTATCGATGTACGCAGCCCCTCTGGGTAAACATCAAAATAAGCAGAAGTATTGATACCTTTTTTTGCTAGACCATCAGCAACGGCATTTCTATTTCTTGCAACATATCTCAATTTGACTTCCCAATTAAAGCTCAGCAAGTTGCGGATCTGCCAAGTCATGAGGTTGTAGCAATCTCTGGCATTCTTATCTATCAGCATTTCTATTAACCCTTTAGCATCAGACTTAATGATGACCTGTTTGAACCCAAAGTCCCAGGCTAAATTCAAACTCTTAAAGACAGCCCAGGTCTCCACTTCTAGCACACTGCATTCATCAGGCTGAAATGAAAAACCCCCAATCCATTTTCCAGTATAATCTCTGATTGCTCCACCACATTCAGCTTTCTTAGGCATTTTTGCTACAGTGGGCAAGATCAAGTGTTAGAAGCTTCCGGATCCCGTGTTGATAAAACTTGTATTACTGATTCTGTCACTGTACACAATTTCCTCCGGCTATAATCAGATTTGCTGGATCGCTAGGCTTGAAGAAGTTCGCAGTAAAAATTTCTTCATTTCTATATTTGAAGTCCCCAATTTTTTTTTACGGACAACCAATCTTCCAAAGCGTACTTCGTTCCCATGATATGGGCCAAAGCCCATTTTTTGCATGGACCTTGCCGCTAAATGGGCCTCAAAATATTTGGGTCACGTGCCGTGATGTGAGTGGTTGGTGGGGCTGAAAGCGAGCGGAATCAGGTGTAGAAGAACGCATCGGAACAACGCGAGAGGGATTTCAATTCCGATGAATTGATCGCGAATTTAGGGCTTTTCGCGCGGAAATGGAAACGGAAGGTAATTGCTCAATAACGGTCTTTTCCACCCTTCTCGTCTCTTGGCTTGAGCCTTCAGTTTTGTTGTTGAACGGTACCCGTAATTTTCCTTTATTTATCTTTGATGCTGCTTCAGCGCAAAAAGGAACTGCAAACCCTTCGGCAATGTTGGCTTCGTTTCTTGGTAGGAGAGCTAAGCTTCACGAGGAGCTTCGTAACATAGAAAAGCAGGCAATTCTCTACCCTCTCTATGGCTTCCCGGCCCCCTCTTATTCTTTAATTTGTTTCGGTTGCCCAAAAAAGAGAGAAAATGGTTGTGTATGAGGGTATCTTGTTTCTACACCCTTGTCAGAAAATGCTGATTTGAGAGGGTGTTAAGACAATGAGGATTTGATATAGGGAATTAAAATTAATTCAACTAACATTTTGCATTTGAGACAGGTTTATGACATGGAGACAAGTTATTTACAGGATCCGGGGCAGTGTGGCAACGTATTAAAAGGATTTGAAGGGTTCCTATCCTCATCGAAGAACACTGCTCTGTACGGAGCTGCTGCTGCTTCTTCTTCTTCATCAATACTTATTTATATTGAAGTTTTCGTCTGTTTTTTTTCCCCATCTATTGATTACTTAAACTCTTTTTTGGTTCTTAGTTTCTGATGTTGTGAAAATATTAAGAGAACATAGGGAGGTAATGCAGGCTCGTCCTAAGTGTATGACCTGTCCATTTATTCGTAAAAAATAGGATGTGTTTATTAAATTTTTTTCTTAGATTTCTTTCTTTGACGGTTGGGGAAGGCTGGATCATGACTTGTGTAATTACATTGATGAAACAAAAAAATCACCTCAGGGGATAACTTGTTGGCCACTTTTCCCGATTCATCAGTAGTTGGGTCTTACCTAGGTTTCATTTGATAAAATAGACTTGAATGAAATGCTAACAAGTGGAGTACCTAGGGTGCTGCCCTTAGCACAACAGTTATGAAAGCTCTAGTTTTAAACTTAAAAAAAAAACAAAAAGAACTTGTTGTCTTGAATGTCTTTTCATCTTTAACAGAGGACTTGTTTTTCTTTTGACAATTCTTTATAGATCAACTATGATATAGTGTCAAAGATGCGTGTGTATCGTTGCATGGCATGTGTTATCAAGTTACTTTGAATTTAGACATAATGCTTCATAATTGATTGACATCGTGTGAATCTAAATTCTTCGTGGCAGCTTGAAGCGGTCCAGAAAGTTTCAACCTGAAGATAGGCTCTTTTCATTATCTTCGGTGACCTCACCAGCGGTGTGTATTCTGTAATTTTAAATTAGCTGCAAGAAGAAAATAAGGTTGTTTGGTTATGAGTGTGACTGTGTGAGATACTAATTGTAGCTAGAAAAAAAATATTAAAAGTCTTCCTTTATGGTTCCTTGTTAAGAAAACTAGATATGGTACTTCTATGTTCTTGACTATGTTGATTCTGCTTATCACCTGGAGAGAAAAGAGCGATTGAAAACTCGCTTAACAAAAGATTACATCAACTATTTTGCCATATCGTCTTTGACTATGAGTACCTGTCTAGAACATTTTATTGTTAACTTGGGAAAAAAATCAAGATCAAAGTAGATGACTGGGGTAACTTGTTTCCGGTAATTTGGAAGCTGTCATGTAATTTTTCTTGGTTCTAGAAGTTGGCCTGTTAAACACTCGCTTAGAACACTATGAAACTGTTTTGATCCAGAGTCTGTAGGCAGAATTCAGCTGGAAAGTAAGGCAAAGAATGTGAGACTTAAGGTTGCGTTTTGAACAATTTGGAACAGATGCCATTTATAAGCATTATGGAAACAGTTCAACGATTGCAAGTTTAAAACCTTATCTTGGATAAGAGTTCTCATAGTTAGTGTTTGACATCAGAATTACCCGAGGTTAGTTTTTTTAATTCGGGCTGAAGAGAAATGTAAAGTTGTCCTCAGGAGGAGTCAGATTTTTGGATGCACTTTGTCTATGTCATCTTTGTGACTTGGTACGAAGCACTATATTATTAGAACTTTGAACATAATAGAAGCATCAAAGTCAAAGGATTGAATTAGTAATAGCAACAATCTTGGTGGCGGATAGGTTGTATCTACGTTTCGAGTTGGTAAAAGGGAGAATTATAATGAGGTCCCAATAAAGAAAAATAATTACCAACAAGCCCCAATGACAAGCTGTCATTTTTCTTAGATTATTATTGAGACTTTTTGGTAATTATGTCTTTTCTTTGGGACTTGATTGCAATTTTCCTTTGTTAAAACTAAGGATTTCAGGTGCATTGGTATTGAAATACTTTGGCTGAAATGTGAACTCAGTGACCCTCTTCTTTTATATTACTGGACCTTATCCGTCTCTTCTTTTAACTCTCTTTCTAAAAGAAAAGTTCCAATTTTTTTATTTGTTTTATTTATCTATAGAGATTTTGTGTTTTAAATATGCTTATGGGACCTTCTCGTGAAAATTTTATTTTTGAATTCTAAAGTTCTAACCTGGATTTTACATTTTCTTCAACTGTCTATTACAGGCAGAAGAGATTGCAGCTGGTAGAGATGGTGAGTTTATATATAGAAGCATACATGTCGATAATTTTCGTGTCATAAATTTGATTGTGTCTTCATCCTTTGGTGTTTATCTCAGATGGAAGGTCAGATTTTGGTCCAGGGCGTTCAAAAGGTGGAATTTATGCCAATGGGCAGTAAGTAATCCGCTGATGGATCTTTGATTATGTTCTAAAAGTCTTAACAAACACATACAGTATATATGCATTGTTTATTTGTGAGCTTAAAACGTATAACGTGACAGGGGCAAACCGAAGAAAGGAAGAGGTGGGCCGAGAGATGCAAAGAGACTTAGGGCTTCTAGTGAGCAAGATTTTGATTATGAGGACGATCCTGACTTGACATTATGATTATTAATGAGTGCTGATACAACTTTCACTTTAAACCTCTGTAATCCATGGGCCTCCCAAAAAAATTGCATGTAAACTGAATGAATGCCCGTTCTTGGTGCTCTGCGGTTGTCTGCATTGCGTTCATGTAGTGTTCAAGTCCAGATGATTATTGATGTGATTTTTCACGGTCGAAGGAAGCCCTTATGCTATGTGTTGTACCAAAGGGCCTGATACATTCTGATAATGCGGAGCTGGCATCCAGTTAATGTTTCTCTTGCGCATTTTTGTTGGTTGGCAAGTTAATGGGAGTTTACAAGACCTGTACATGTGACTGTAATTTGCTTAGGTGTTTTCTGTAATCATGTATGAAAAAGGAGAAAATGAATGGCCGGTTTGGTGAAATTTTTTGTATCCCTTTAATTGTTATTTTATTGTATCAATGGCTAATTAATATTTTTTATTTATATCCTTGACAAGTAATTTGTATGTGTTTTTTTAAAAGAGTGTAGTCACATAAGAATTGAAAAAAATGTGTATGATAAGAACAATTTAATAAAATTATATTACTAGTTAAATCATCATCAACGTCATTAAGGGTTTGTTTGGCTTAATGAGAGGAAGGTGAGGGGAGGGATTTTAATGGAGGGAAAGAGAGGAGAGGAGAGTGAAAAGATTTTAATATTATCTTGTTTGGATTTATAAAAAAAAATGGAAGAGTTTTAATATTATCTTGTTTGGTTCATGAGAAGAGGAAAGGGAAAAATCTTTTAACATGACAATTTTATCTTATTTTATTTAAGATTATTTTTTCAAAGTTTATAGAATGTTTAATAAAATAGAATTGTAAATAACATTTAATATATGGAGCAATACATATAACAAAATTCTAATATGCTCTAGAACGTGAAGTATTATTGAAAAGAAGGCTAAAGTAATATTCAGCTACAACTTGTATTATATCCCATCTTTAAATGAAATATTTGGTCATACAAATGAGAGAGTAGTGTCTAGAGACAAGAAAAAAAGATTTAGAGTAATATGGGGATATTTAAAATAAATATGGATATAATTGTCACAACATAACAAAATATTGCCTTTTCCTTCTAAATCCTCTTAATTTTGGAGGGGAGGTTGAGGAAGGGAGGGGAGAAAAATTTTTCTCTTTCAAATCCCTCATACCAAACACACTCTAAGAAGCTAGTGTGGTTTGTCCTTCATCACTAATCACTGTATCATGGTTAGCCACCACCTTATGATGTATTGGGGATAATTTTAGGGTTAAGGTGTGTGCAACACCCCGAATTATTTTTCTAGTGTGCCTAGTGTCCTAAAGTAATTTTCAGTGTATCCAATGTCCCAAACTAATTAAAACGGTGCGTCCATATCCCAGGCTAATAGAAAAGTTAGGTTTGACCGTTACCTTGTTGACTCAGTCGAAGGTTGACTGAAAAATCCTACATGGCGGATGCACAGGCGTCTAATGTGTATTATTTTAACTGGTTAAGGTGCGCCTAGCATCCCGAACTATTTTTCCAGGTATATCCAGTGCCCTAAAGTAATTTTTGGTGCATGTAATGTCCCAAACTAATTAAAATGATGCATCTATATTTTAGGCTACAGAAAAGTTAAGTTTGGCCACTAACTTGCTAACTCAGCTGAAAATTGACCGAAAAATCATACATGGCAGACGCGTAGGCATTTGATATGTATTACTTTGACTGAAAATTCAATTTATTTTCTCCTCTTCTAACGTTTATCTTCTGCCAGCTTTTAAACTTAAAAAAAGAAAGAAAGACCACCGATCTACCCTCTTAAATCCTGATACATATACCATCCATTTAATCACATCCTCTTTTTTAACATTTTTTTCCACCACTCCGATTTGAAACCGCAACTACCGTCACAGCATAATTCCATCTCTGTCTTTGTCAACTCCTCATTTGACTTGCATTTGCTTTCCTCCTTGCAGAACACAGTAAACTTCCCTTTGGTCACTTAGTTGACGTTGTCGTCACCTCCCGAGAAAACACCCGCCATCATCGAGCTCGTCTCGGGAGCTTCCGTCAAAATAATACACATCAGACGCCTGTGTGTCCGCCATGTAGGATTTTTCAGTTAACCTTCAGTTGAGTCAGCAAGGTAATGGTCAAACATAACTTTTCTGTTAGTTTGGGATATGGACGCACCATTTTAATTAGTTTGGGACACTAGATACACAAAAATTACTTTAGACACTGGACGTACCTGAAAAAATAATTCTAGGTGCTGGGTACACCTTAACCCGTCAAAATAACACACATCAGACTCCTGTGTGTCTGTCATGTAGGATTTTCGGTTAACATTCGGCTGAATCAGCAAGATAACAGTCAAACTTAACTTTTCTGTTAGCCTGGGATATTGACACATTGTTTTAATTAGTTTAGGACAGTGGATGCACTGAAAATTATTTTAGGACATTAAGTGCATCTGGAAAAATAGTTTGAGGTGTTGGGCGCACCTTAACCCTAATATTTAAAAGTACTTACAAGTATGTTTTATCTCGGTCGAGACAAAATTCCTCTTATATATTTACTTCATATTTTATAAATTATGATTAAAAAATTATTTATAACTTATTTTAAACGGATCTTAATATCCTTGACCAAACAGTCAATTTCGGCCACCAAAATTCACAACCGTTTTCAGAAATCACCCGAAATGGAAAAAACAATGAAATACAGCCACCGGAGGTGAAGTCGGAGAAGATGCGCAAGCGAATGCGTGAAGGATGTTTTTGAAGATGTAGTTCTCATGGCGGCTGAGATCATGAATGTAGGAGGAATGGCAATGACGGATAACGTGGGCGGGGTTTGGTGCCATCCAAATCTAATAGCAGTACGTAGACAATCACACGTAACAATTTGAAGATTATCATTATTTTTTAATATAAAAATAAAAGATACTAAAGATCGCTTGGTCAAAACAAAAAGTGATACTAAAGATCCAGATTTGCCTCTCATTCGCACTTCCGATGACTAGTTGGCGTGCTGAACATCAACGTGTTTCCAACTAGGATGGCTCACACCGCCGTCCGGTTTTAAATGCCGTCTATCATCATCCGACGTCGTTTTATTATAGCCGTCCTTCTCTTCTCTATTCCTCCTCCTCCGTCTGCTATCCCGCTTGTGACAAGGTGCTCTACCAGTGGGGAAGGCCTCGTCTGTTGTCCATGAGTATCGAGATTTCATTTTTGTCTTGAAAAAGCCGCGCTTGGGAACAACATAAATTGTCACCAGCAATTCCTCTTCATGGATTTGCTGGTGTGTGCCTTATCTCTCGCTGGTTTTCATTATCTTGTATCATTTTCCTGGCTCAATCTATGTTGATTTTCTTTTCTATCTTGAAATAAAAAAATAGGACATGCTTAAGCGCAAGAAGAAGCCGGACAAAGAACCTCAACTTCCTGTATTCTGGTTCGAAACATCTAATTCCGTTTGTCGCCGGTTCCAGTTTGAACCCGATGGCCCACTCTCTGTACGGTTTCCATTCTCCTAATTTCTTTTGTTCATTTATTTAGGTACAAGGAGATGAATCTCGATGAGGACCTCGGGATTTGACTTTCTTTAGTTTTACTTTTGAGGAAGGAGAATGTCGTCATATTTCTCGTCATTCTAGAATCGGAATCTATTAAATCAACAAGAAATATTCCCAACTGGTTTTGTTTGTCTTAGTCTTGGAAGGTCCATCTCTGGGAAAACGTTTTTTATCTCATGCATTGTGAAATCTGTTCCCGTATTGAGTTCCATTTGAAGTTCGCATAAGCTGTACATGTTCCTTTTCTTTATGCACGATGAAGTGCCTTTCTAATGTATATTATCTTCGGAAATATCGCTGTTGTATCAATAATCGCAATCTTTCTCAAGTAGAGGCTCATTGGAAGTGAGAACAATTCATATGAGATGTTAACTTTCCCTAAATTTGAGTTGTTGGAAAATTTAATTGACATCCTGCTGGGTTCTTTGTATCTTATCAGTTCTTTCCGGTTTTACTCTGGTGAATGAAGTACCCAGAAAGGTGGCACCGATTATTTGATATGTTATTTCAACATTTCAGCAGCTTCAATTCTGTTTTAGGAGCTTCACTTCTGAATCAAGCTTCAAGTGTTTTCGTTAATCATGAAATTACACTGCTACACCATCATTGCTCATATTTGGATTTTTAGTTTTCATGAGTGTTTGTTCAACTAGTTCTTTGCATTCATTGCCCTGACAGATGTTTTGTTTTCCCTTTAGGTAAAGCTTGTAGATGACTCTAGACCAATATATCACAGGATGGTGGAGTCTTTCCTAAATAAATTTTTCCCCTCAGGATATCCATATAGGTTGTTATCTTTCCTAATAAGATGTATTCGATTGGGATGGGCCAGATGGCTCAGACAAGGAAGTCTGATCTGGTGACTCAAACTTTTGGTGTTTTCTTTGCAGTGTGAATGAGGGCTTCCTTAGATATACACAGTTTCGAGCACTTCAGCATGTTACCAGTGCAGCACTATCGGTGCTGTCAACTCAGGTCTTCTGATGACTACAAAATATATAACTAGAGATAATTTTACAGCACTTGCCTAAGCAGACAAGTTATTATTATCTTTGTTTGTACTTGGTTTATTCCTTTTTTGTGAAAATTTTGTTCCTTTTTTATTTGTATGAATAAGAATGATCTTAATAACATAATAGATATGAAGTGGTTATCCTTGTGTATGCTGATTCTTCTGCAGTCACTGCTATTTGCTGCAGGCTTGCAGCCCACCCCTGCTCAGTCAACTGCTGTTAGTTGGGTAATTTGATATCCCTGTGCAATTAACAATTCTGAGACTGGTAATGACAGCATCCATTTAAGATATGTTTTCTTTGTGTTGCTCTGACGTACAGATTTTAAAGGATGGAATGCAACATGTAGGGAAGCTAATATGTAGTAATTTGGGTGCACGAATGGATTCAGAGCCTAAACGTTGGAGAATTTTTGGTTTGCGTCTCGGCCAGAGCTTTTCTTCTTATTTTAGTTCATATTCGCTCAATCGCAGGGTGTCTGACTATAATAACCTTTGCATCTTACAGCTGATGTGCTCTATGATTTAGGCACCGGCTTGGAAGTGCTGTCTCCTTTATGCCCGCATCTTTTTCTTGAAATGGCAGGCCTAGGTAATTTCGCAAAGGTATGTTATCATAGAGGACCTTTATGTCCCATTTGGTGAAAGATTTGTTATTTTCCTATTTGATACAGGGACTGGGGTCTCACTAATTAGTTGACTGTAAACTTTTGCCCCCACCTTTCATTATTATTTCGGAGTTGGCAGGGGATGGCAGTTGTTGCAGCAAGAGCGACTAGGTTGCCTATTTATTCTTCATTTGCCAAAGAAGGAAACCTTAGTGATCTATTTGCTAAAGGGGAGGCTATTTCAACTCTCTTTAATGTTATTGGAATTGGTGTTGGAATTCAGTTAGCATCTACTGTCTGTACTTCAATGCAAGGGAAGGTATATATCATATAATTTTTCCTGAGCATTATTGTTTATAGGCATTCGTTCAGTTTTTCTTACCCATGTTAGGTTTGTACTAACAAGCTATTTAATGACTTTCTGAATAATACTTAAAAGATGAAAATTGTAGCGACATGGAAACTTGGAAAGAAATAGTAGGAGCTTACTGTAGAGATTTTATGGGATTAGACCATATATCTGGACACCACAATCTCGAAAAACAGAGCAATATACTCCCCCAGAAACGAGACATTGTTTGTCGTCATATATGGAAGTGGCAATATTATCAAAAGAAAAAAAAAAGTATATTGAAGTGATAAAATTATCAAAATATATACATATATATTGAAGTGGCAAGATTGTGAAATCATATGTCTCTTTGGAGTCATGCCTCAGGGCATAGGTCGTAGGGATTGTTTTATTCCTTTAGTTACAATCAGAACCCTTACTTTTTATCACAGAAGCAAATATCCCAGTTTAATTTTATCTTTAAGAGATCTATTGAATCTTGTAACTCGTTTTACACGAAGTATTAATCTTATTGATGATTCCCAACTGATGGATTCTGAAGCATTTGTTATTAGTTGGTTGTGGGGCCTCTCCTTTCAATTTTACATGTATACAGCGTGGTTGAAGAAATGAAAGCTACTCCTGTCAATACCTTGAATCCACAAAGAACCGCAATGGTTGTGGCCGATTTTCTTCAGGTCTGGAATCTGGATTACACTACTTTAACATGTGAATGCTCCCTTGTTTTCTTTTTCTTATTCGTGCGAGAGAAATGACGTCTGGCTGACTGCATTGAGTTCAATTTAAATCAGGCAGGGAATGTATCCAGTCCTGCTGATATTAGATACAGAGAAGATCTGTTATTTCCTGGGCGACTCATAGAAGGCGCCGGAAATGTTAGAGTGGGTAGGACTTTGCACAAGGCCGTTAAGCCTTCAAAGCTCCGTGAAATAAAACAATTATTCCCTGAGGAGAAGTTTCTCTTAAATGGTGGAGATAAATGCATTGACATGGTGTTGGAGCATGATGCTAGTGGGGAGGATGCATTGAGAGGCTGGTTGGTTGCGGCATATGCTGCACAGATGACCAAGTCCTCTCGAGATCTCGGTGCCAGAACCCTGCAAGAGGCCTATGACAAAATGAACGATGTATTCCCTGTATTTCTAAGAGCGTTACAGAACAGAGGATGGCATACTGATCGTTTTCTGGATGGTGCTGGGAGTCGCTTTTCATTGTAGCGATAATGCTATGTTTGCCTTCAGGTTTCACCCATTTCTGTGGCTGCATCTGAATATGATGCGTGGCGGTAGGTGTAGACTCTCAACAGTGTTTTGCGCGGATTAAAGAGATAGGAAAACATTTTTGGTAGCTGATCTTTTTTTTAACATCCCAGATTAAGGCATAGATTTTTTTGCCCCCCAGTATTTCTGATTGAAGCAATTAAGAGCTTCTTTGGTCCCTAAAGTTTCCTTGAATGTTGGGGAACAATTAATAATTAATTATTTTAGTGGAGAATATATACTGTTTATGAGAGATGAGGTGACGAGGCATAATTCTAAGCTGCCTTCTTGTGCATTTAAGAATATGGAAATGTCACCCAGATCCGTACAATATTTGATTATACTAGTATGATTATCAATGGCTTGCTCTTGCGATATTCTTTCTTTGGAACAGGAGAACGATAAAAAAGGACAGCCTTAAACCTTGTAAACAAAATTGCCATCATCTTCCACCACCTCCATAGGGTGATGGGTGAGCAAAACCAACATCATCAATGAGAAGATCATGAGCTTTCCTAATGAGGATGTCTTCACTTTTGTTTGCCAAAACAAAATTAACAGAACTTTCCAACATCTATGACACATGACGAACAACATCTACCTATTAAAATTTGTTAAAAAAAAATTATATTATCCATAAATTAGAAATACTATGACTCATTTTAAACAATGTAACAATTTATTCATAAATTCCATTCCTATGGTTCTTGTTCGTTTTTGAAAGTGTAGTCCTCAGGTTAATTGATGAAAATTTGTTGAGCTGGTGTTAATACCTGATGTATTTTTTAATTAATAGCTAATCGTCTGACCCTCAGAACCACAGCACGTTGAATTTAAAATTATTCTTCTATCAAACATAATGGAAGAGAATCATGGCATCCATAGCAGAAACCAAACAGAATGTCACATTAAGGCTGAGCAAATTATGAGCATGTAGTTTATAGTGATAAAATCATGCGCGAAAAGTTAGCAGGTTGAAGCATGGAGGAGGACAGGAGCAGTTGAGCATCAAGATCTGAAAATACAAAGTAAGATCCATTTTCTGATATTCTCCTTTAGAATTATAATAAATAAATAAATATAGATGTCATTCCATGGCGAAGTGCCAGATTCGTAAATCGAAATCTGAATACTTTTCCTTGATAAAGCTATCAGAAAAAGATTGAAATGTGATTCATATTAATACTACCTGAAGGCCATGAGAAGCTGTACAAAGCCGGACACACAAAGCAAGCAGCCAGGATTAGCACAGTAAAAGATAATGTTAAGGTGGCAAAGCAAGGGGGCTTTTACTGAGTCATAATTAGGTCTTAATACATTTAACGAAAAGAAAAAGGGGCAATTCAAAGTATGAAGGGCTACTGTATGGCATAATTGAAATAATCAAATGCTTGTGCTGGCTTAAAAGTCAAACAAGAACCCGGTCCCAAAAGATTTAATGAGGAAAAGTACCTCCCTAGATTTCTGAATTTTAACCTTTTTTTTTTTAACCCGTAACTTCTTCTTTTTTTTTTGGGGGGTAGTTTTCCATGAAAAAAAACTACAAACGCTAAAAATAAAGCATGATTAAAGACAAAGTATATAAGAAAGCAAAGTGGTAATTTTTTTCCTTAAAAAAGGATTAAGTCAGCATTTGAGTTGAATCATTCAAGTGTTTGCAGTTTTCTTCTCTGTCTTTCTGGTGTTATTTACGAATAATGGAGTGTAATGTTGGTAGAAGTGGGGTTAGATCGATTTGTTGCGTATATTTAAGTCATTGAAACGTATTAATTTATGGATATTAGAGAAAGCGTGGTCAAGTATCTTGAAAGCGTGCTCCCGCCTGCCATGCTTTTCACCTAATTACTAATTAAGTGACATCATCTCTGACAATAGCCAATGCTTTTTCAGTTTTTCTTCTCTTCCATCAAATAGATATTCTCCTAAGAAAGTCTAATTTACACACACACACACACATCTGCATATAATAGACAATCCGTCCATTGTTTTCTGAGCATGGTGGTGTGATTTTACTATAATTTTCATGCAAGCTAAGTCACGGGTCATATGATCATGTATATATTGAGTTTATCAGATTTTATTCCGTATTTGGTGGCATTTGGAATGATAATTTTTTTAGAATACTAAAGTCCTGAGGCTTTGATTTGTTTGTTCACCAAGAACGACTGCTTTTCAATTTATATGTTTCTTTAGGCTTGTTCTTTTCAAAAATAAGACTTGGGCTGCTGACTTTGGCACTAGCCTCTTTCTTTGACCTCTCTTGAGCTACTTGATGCTGAGGCATTAACAAAGCATAGCACGACTTGAAGTTATTTTTCTAATTTGTGAAATAGTATTTCTAATTACAAAGTTCGCCGTATTTTGATGATTTTTTTATTATTTGGTTTTGATCAGCAGTGCTTTTGTAGACTGGAGAATTTTTTTTTGGGGTGTTCTTGTAATGTTGTAAAGGAAAATTTAATTTAATTTAATTTTCCGCCAACCTAATTAATATTTTCAGGTGTTTTTTTAATAAAAATAATCATGTATAAATGTTACGGCCTTTATTTCAAAATGAAGTGCGCGACATGTCACTTAAGGTCTGAAGCACAAGCTAAAGGAAGCTATATTAATAACCAGCCTACATTGTGGGCAAAATTTGACATTATTTTGTTAAAATATCCTTGACAAAATCAAGAAAAAAGAGACAGCATTTGAAATGCTTTGATTTATTCTTATTTTTAAAATATTATTTGACTTTGAATTATTACTGCTAGTGTTGAAGTGATGAACTTAAAAAAATACCGAATACCCGTCAAAAGTTCTAAAGTGATAATTATTGTTTTAGGAAAAAAAATCCAAAACTACAAGTGATGAAGGGATAGATATATAGTAAAGCTGACTTGGTAAAGTACAGCTTTTTGAAAAATAAAAGGATAAAGTGGGCTAAATACTTCAAAAACATCCACAAAAAAGTATCTAACACTTGAAAGTTTTTTCATTTCTTATACTTATGAAAACTTTATTTTGTAGCATTTTTATTTAAAGCGTTGTTTTGTTAAGTTTGATCACTAAAGACACCGATTAAACTTTATAATTTAACAATCAAACTTAATAGCGAATGACGACTAAGATATTTTTGTTACGAAAATAAATTTTTAGAGTATTAAAAGCCAAAAATAATTTTCAAGTGCTAGGTATTCTTTTGTAGATATTTTCGGAATATTAATATTATTATTCGTTAGCTTAGCTTGATGTGTGCGACAATGAAAGACTCTTGTTATTTAAGGGGTTTAAATCGTAATTCTGATGTCATCAGCGTATATAATAGCCTGGTCGAGAGAGTTCAGAAGAAATTTATCCTTTATACTTGTATGCTCCTCAGCTTAAAAAAATAATCACTTTAGTATTGTTTTACGAAATAAAAAAAATTAAAGATCCTATCGCTGAAAAAGAGACATGGTGATCGTGCGGAGATCTGGTGAGAGGCGGCGAAAACGTGGCAATACCCCTCGGCTTAATATAAGAGAGAGAATGATTGATAAGTACTAATTTAAAAATTATCAAAAAATTCAATTAAACTGATTATCTTTCACAAATATATATTTACATACTTAAATTATTATTTTTAATTATGTGCATTAAATAATTAAAATTATTCTTAATAAATCAATAAAAATATTTTTAAGAGAGTGTTTAAGTAAAAATAAAATTATAGTTTTAAAAATATTTTCATGATAAACGAAATGAATATATAAAAAAATTTGTTTCAATCGCGGAAAAATATTTTTATGAGGTTAGCCAAACACTCTCTAATATCCAAAATCATCAGTTAGGCAATTTGCACGTTTTGTTTGACCCCTCACATAAAGTTTCCGTGAGAGCACGACCCCTGCAACAGCAAGTGCCGCTGGCCACCCCCCGCACGTGTCAGCTTTCAACCCCGGTGGCTTGCTGCTGAATGCTTTTGTTTGTTTATAAAATTATAAATAGCGCATAGGCCTGCGTGTCTGTGTTCGCGTTTGAGAGTGAAGAAGAATAAGAAGAAGAACAAAGAAAATGGGGAGAGCTCCGTGCTGTGAGAAAATGGGGCTGAAGAAAGGGCCTTGGTCTGCAGAAGAAGATCAGACACTCATCACTTATATCCAATCACACGGTCATGGCAATTGGCGAGCCCTTCCCAAACAAGCTGGTAATAATTATTCACCACCCACCCACTTCCTTCATTTAATTTCTTCATTCCTTCTCCAGCAAATTAAAACCAGATAGATCCGAAATCAGCTTCTCTGTTTGTACATACTGCGTGTAGGGCTTTTAAGGTGTGGCAAGAGTTGCAGACTACGATGGACCAACTATCTGAGGCCTGATATCAAACGCGGTAACTTCACCCCTGAAGAAGAGCAAACCATCTTCCAGCTTCACCATCTCCTGGGAAACAGGTCTTCCGATCCTCTCTCACTACCACACTTTACTTCCAACGCAAACCCAGTAACCAAACCCCTTTACACTGATGAGTTGTTTCATACTTAGCATAAACAACAGACATATATCCTTCCGAATGCATGCTTCCCATGATTAACCTCACTCTTTTCCTATAGGCACGAACAACCCTCATTATTCTCTTTTTCTTCTGAAATAGTGAAATTATATGGTTAAACTGTTCTTTTGATGTTGAGTTGGACCCAAAAGCACACTTGGTTGTGTATCTTATCTTGATAGCAGCAAAATCATCACGATATGGATACGTCGGCTGCTGCAGAGATTCTTCTTTCTCTTGAGCTGCAGCATCTTCACGTGCTCCTTCTTAAGAAAATGATCACCCCTTTTTCTTTCCCATTAAACTAAAATTATTAAAAAAGGACGAATGATGAAAGGCTGGCACGTTGGTTAGTGCACAACGTTATTATTACGGAAGTAGCCAAGTGCTCTATATGTTTAAACATTAAGCATGTGTTTTTTTTTTTTTTTAATTGATGCAGGTGGTCAGCAATTGCAGCGAGATTACCGGGACGCACAGACAACGAAATAAAAAATGTGTGGCACACCCACTTGAAGAAGAGGCTCCCACAAAACCAACAAAACCTCCCCACAAATCGGAACCCTAAACACAAAAAACAAAACCCCGTGAGTTCTTCCGCAGCCGACGATGATGATCAAGACGTGATCCAAACCCAGATCAAACAGCACTGTGCCCCACAGTCTCCCCCACAATGTTCTATCAGTGCCAGTGATGCCTCCACCCTCACTAACAGTGTTGAACGTCACAGTAACGACATGTCCACAAATGATGTCGAGACGCTAACACAGAATATAGAGGCTTTGGACGAGGATTTCTGGTCGGAAGTCTTGTCGGCTGATAATTCTGGGGAAAGCAGCGAACTTGCAGGAGTGGGTGCTTATGCTGCTGACCCACACTTCCAATTCCCATTCTCTCCACTCACGGGTGAACCAAGCATCTGCGATGGGTTTAATATCGACTTTTGGGGCGATAATGTTTACGCCAGAACCCACGAGTTAACAGAGTTATTACCACAATTATGATGTTCATTTGTAATCTGCTCATTCGTTAATATCACGCAACAAGACGAGCTTGTTTGTTCCCCTCTCTTTCTCACCTGCGATCTAGTTGATTTGAAAAGCAACAAAACAAAACAAAAAGAAGATTACAGATTTTAAATTTTGACTGAGAGCGAGCGGGGGAGGATCCATGATTCAACTTTGGATGTAGAGCCTTGTACAACGGGACTCACGTAGGGGAGGGGAGTTTCATTTTTTTATTTCTTTTATATTTCTTCTCTTGAAATTTATTAGTTAACCCCTTGGCTTTTCAAAACTTCATTAATTGGCTCTTCACGGTTTTTAATATATATACATGTTAACTACAATTAGGATCAGTTGTGGCATATGATATATATAGGAGTACTACTTGATGCGAAATTAAATCATTAAATGCACGTCTAGGATCTACTCCACTTGAGATATAATCCGCAATTAATCAAGCTGCATGTTAGAATAATTCATGATTTTAGTTATTAGTTAACAAGTAAGAACCCGTTTGTGCCGTAAAACTTGGCCCTGAATGAAGTATGATAATGTCTTTTTAATTTTTGTTTCAATTTTCTTTATATTAACCCGAGTTATTAACGACAAAGGCTGACTCAAATCTTGTATCCGACAAAATTATCCAGCAACAAGAAGACAAGCATTTAAGATTATTTCACTTAAACTTTTAATTATATTGTCTGACCTCACAATAAATAGTTGAATCCGCCATGTGCAGTGGTGGTGGAGGTAGGAACGACCTCCGAGGGCTTATGGCACCCAATATATATTTTTTAATATTATGTAAATATTAGTACATGTTTAATTTGTCAAAATTTTCTGAATTTTAAAATTTTGGCTCCGCCTCTGCAATTCTGCATTCGGTAAATTCATTAAAAGAAGAAAAAAATTTGGTGCCCACAATCACTGTTGTCAAACTCGCGAGTTGAGTCTCTGAGTTTAATGTTTGTACATTTTCAACTGACAAAATTGTGTCGATTCACTCTTAAACTCATAATAATTGTAAACTCGGTTAAACTTATAAATTTATTTACCTAGTTTACCATTTTTATGTTTTTAGCTTACAAATTCATGTTAACTCGTTCTTAAACTCGTACTAAATTTTTTTATTTAATTATGTTTAGTGACGTTATATATGAATTTTATAAAAATTTCTTTGTTAAATGTGATAAATTATGAACATCCATAAATATCATTTTAATTATTTAAATTTAAAATATATTTAAATAAAATTGTTCTTATTTTTTATATATTAATTATTTGATTATATACTTTTAATATCAGTTTATTAATAAAAGTAAAATCTTACGAGTTTAGGATCTGAGTTTATATCATTATTATGAGTTTGTTTAAATTTGTGAGATTGACAATCTTACCCACAACGCACCCGTCTCATTTGTCTTGTTGACGTTGTATTGTCGGTTCTGTTATATGTGCAAATCAGAATAAATCATTTTAATATCATTGGACAATTTACAATTAAGCCCGAGAATCAAATCGCAAGAAAGGAAGTTATACGTAATTCTTTTTTTATGCATTTTGTGTTCGTAAGAATTATAATTAGAACGTGATAAAAATATATTAGCATTTAAGATTAAGTCTATATGATCCTTAAAATTACGTATTACAGGATTAATGCTTCAGAATGTTTTGCACATTATAACTATGGATTGAATAAAATAGTTGCAAGAATATTAAAGACATAAGAAACTGCCATATCAAGTCTAATCACACAATATTAATTAAGAGTAACTGGAGGGGCTTTTGCTTGAGGGTCAAGCATCGAGCTGCTCAATATAATTAACAAAAACAGCTGTTGGTATTCAGAGTTTCAGAAACATTCATTAAAGGTATGAAAATAAAAATGATATGAACTTTGACTTTACAACCTAATACTACCTCAGGTCCTAATTATAAGACCTCATTTGCAGTTATAATTAGGACCGGAGGTAGTAAGTAATAATCCATGCCAATGTATCTGTAAGTGCTGTTTGATGTTTCATTTTTTTTGGGTGCGAGCAAGTACAGTGTACTTATGTGCTGTTTTCTTAATCAACATAAAGTGTAACGCGATAATAATGAATTTTTAAAGAATATTTGTTAATAATGCGGATAATATTTTGAAAGAAGTTGCCAAATGGTCGGGCTAATTAAAGCACATTGTGTTTTGTGATCGGGAGAGTGGAGAGAAGGAGTGAGAAGAGAATAAGATCAGAAGACGAAGAAGTAGAAAAGTAGGATGGGAGATGACTCGTTTTTCAACTGTGGAATCACGAGCAAAACAAGCAGTGTGATCTCTTCGCATTTTCAGATTTTGAAAATAACAATGAATTCAAAGAAAGAAAGAAAAGAATAATCCGTGGCATTTTGTGGTCTCTTCGTCATCGTCGACGGCCCTCCCTCGCACTTCCCGGTACACTATGGTTGCAGAAGGATTTTGTCTTTATTGGCGAGCGTTGAGCCTATGATGCCGATGCTACTTGCTGGAGCTGGCTTTCTTCCACTGCTTCACCAGGCCCGACGGCTCTGCTTGTCACAGGCGTATTTTCAGCATTTTTTTCTTTTGGTGTTTCCTTTCGTCCTCTTTCTTCATTTTGGGAATTTTCAAAGCCAAAAAACTTACTCATTATAAAAGGGCATATAACGGCATCCTTTCAGATATTATTAGAAAGAATTGCTATAAAATCAGTTAAAAAAACATAATTATTAAGAAGGCCCAATAACAACAGAACAGGCTGTAACAATAAATTTCAAGATAATAAATAACAAGCGCTCACTTGTCATTAAAACTTACTGATAATTATTTTCTTTTATTAGGACCTCATTGTAGTTCTTCTATACTACTATAAAAAAATTGAGAACATTGATAATTTTAAGACAATAATTGAGAACATTGATAACAACAGAACAGGCTGTAACAATAAAATCATCGTTCGAATATGAAAGGCAATAATTATACAACAGCCTCTGCAGGCTTTTAATAGAGTATTAGGGGGGAAAAAGAAGCTAGATGAGGGCTCGGATTCCTTGCTGTTGCATCTCTCTTAGTCTCCACATCAAGTAAATGCAATCTTCTCCTCGATCTTCTGGTTCCATTTGTTGTAAAGCCCAAGCATAATAAACTGTGTGGATTGTGTCCTGTAACAGAAAAATGAATGATAATCGGGAAACAAAGTTGTGTTTTAGTCACCTCATCCAAATGGTACATCACTTGTGGTAAAAGCAACATCACTTACCTTGCCTCCTTCTGCAATTGACCCATTCCTGTCACGTACACAATAGATTTGCTGTGTTTGAAACTGAAAATTTATTAAACAAAAAACCATCATGACAAGCTCTTGTTTTCATCACCAAATATAAATTTTGTGAACCAGCAAAATACTCTAAGAAGTGAATGTTTATATACCATTACGATGATTAAGGGAGAGGGCCCCATCATCTTGGTCTCTCTCACTTCAACCTCGGATACATGCAAAATCTGCATTACACATCAAACGTTACAAAGGCACTATATCTTGAAAAGTTGCTTGTAGTGTGTTTCTCGTTGTTTAAAGTGTATGTGTTACTCTAGGTGAGCTTGAACATTCCTAGATGACAAGAGCAAAGGTAGAATTTCGTCATTTATGAGAAGCACCAACAAGAAGATATGGTGGTTGGAACCCGAACTGATCTAATAGGCCTAACATATCTTACTTGCATTAGCGTGATTACAAATTACCTTGTGTGAGACTAAGGAGAAAAGGATAAGACAAATAATAACTACAACTTGCAAAAGCACAAAAACACATTCACGCTCTGTTATGAGCATCAGTTGTTAAATTTTATTTTCTCATCTTCCTGCACTTGGAAGCCATGTTTACCTAACATCATCTCTATCATGCTGACCGCATTGGACCTAGGTTCAAGCAAGATTAGAGTCGCGCTTCATTTAACCCTATCAGCTCTACCACACAAGTTCAAAGTTAAATGATAAGCAAACAAATAAATATACTTAATATATCATCAGGTATTATGAACTCAGATCCAAAGCAAATAATTTGAACAAGAAAAATAAAAGATCCATGAAATTGGCAATCTCACCTTGTTATCAAAGAAGATACCATTACTTTGATATGCGGCATGCTCTGCTTTACAGCGTTCAATGAGCTCAGGACAACAATACTTTTTCAAAACTTCAACATCTCCCTGCACAAGAATATCTATAATTCATCAAGAAAAAGGGATGAATCCACCATCACCTTGATTATGAATAGATTTTATAATATTCAAAAATGAACTGCAATACAAAAGGCACGTCAAAGAATTAGAATTCCAACATTTCTGCAAAAGTTTAGCACTGACCTTGATGTAAGCATTAAGCACTGGTTTTATTGCCTCCTGAACTTCCACCACGAATTCTGGTAATGAGAAATAACTAATCCATGCAACACACAACAAAAGGAAGACGTTAACAAGAAGACTTGGCAAATTATCAGTGGCCACAATGAAAACAGAAGGCATGAGACATACGGATCTCTTTGACGAATTTCCTTGTATGATAGTGCGGCATCTGACTCTTGAAACATGCTATCATTGATACTGTAATAGGGTAATGGTAAATTAGCACTTAACCTATTTTGGAATATAACCAGTCACACAGTCTTTCTTAGCACAAAGAGGGTGAAAGAGAAACCCGAGCTTACTCTTGTATTTTGTGAATAATGGGGTTGTCGCTGGTCTCATATCTTTCACGCAAGTCTTCTACAATCTGTCAATTTTAGCACACGAATAAATGATGACTTCAGAATCAAGCGTGGACATCTTTTAATAAAATGTGAATGTCAATTATCTCTCGAGGCACAACTCCTAAGCTTCCAAATACAAAATTACAGAGAAAAGTAACATGGGGAAAAAAACAGAATTATTATCACATAAGAATGAACATCAGAAGCACAACACACCTCCTGGCCCTTTGACTTCACAGGGTCACTATACTGAACAAATCGCTTGGACATAGGATGGCCCTTCGCCTAAATAGAAGGCAAAGAAATAAATTGATGGAAACATTTTTTAAGATTATCCACTAAACAAAGCACTGCCTAACAGGTTACCTTCTCTTTAAATTGATCAAACTTCTTAGCCCACCATGACTGTTGTGAGGGCATGACAACCAGCTCTGTTCTTGTACTCGTTTCCCCGCTTGATTTGAAAGGAACATGCCTTCTCTTTGTCGGATTACTACTTAGCTCCTCCCTCACAATATCATATCCTTTTTTGGCTATGTTGACTATCTTCACGTCCTTCAATTTATGGAAGGCCGTAGAAACATTTGGGGAAGAAATGGTTGACTTAAATTTGCCAAAGAATGAGTCTGCAGCATTACTAGACCCAAATTGCTGGTGTTTCCCATCCTCGGATGAGGCCTGGCTTGCTTGTTTTGCATCAGCGTCCTGCTCACATGAAGAACCAGAAGACCCTGAAGAATCCTGCTTCCCAATCCCGAAGGTTTCTTTCACCTGAGTTAAACAATGAATACGGTCAACAAGCCATCAAGAGTCAACCCTTGCCACTTCCTCGCCGATTAAAAAATTTCAAACAAACCTCCTCAGTAGCAGATGCAATCTTTTCTTTCATGTTTTCAGAAACCTGCAAAAAGAATTATTACCAATCGAAATTTTGGAAATTAGAAACTTATCAGTTTACTTATAATGGATAAGGGAACTAAGTCACGAGTCCCAGAACTGATAATGATATAACGTTAAGGTAATATATTGCAGCATAAACAGGGGCAAAATCATGTAGGACAAGGGGACAGAGAGGGATAAAAGAGGAGAATGGAGGGGGGAAGCAGAGAAAATGGGGGAGTGTGCGACGACAAAATATTTTCAACAGACAAAACATATCTTAGGGCTATTCATACTACCCAGGTACAAACAATATCGGCCTTTTTGAAAGATGATTATTATCCATTTCTGAATCACTTATAATGAGCACGTGAGAACTTCAAGATGAACTGTGATTATACCTTCTTTGCGGCAACTTCAGCATCTGTCCAAACTTCATCGACCTGTTTGTACAGCTGCTCAGTTTTCTGCTTTGTTCTGCATTCGCCATTTCACCATCTCAGGCCCTCCATTGAAGTGTCCACCCAGCCTTGACATACAACAGTATGTCTCAGCCTATTAAGAACTGAAAAATAATACATTGCAATATGGCAGCTACAATGTAAGATTTACCTTTCTTTAAGCCCCTCTTTTACCCCTCTCAGCTCATCTGCTTTCTCATTCAGCTCCTTCATAGACTGCTGGAATTCTGGATTACTACGACCATGGAAAGAAAAGTAAACACAAACGGCAGCCAGATATTCACGAAAGAGAAAGGAGAAAAAACCTCGTGGATTGTCAAATGAAGAAGAGATAGTACAGGCATTCACTTTTACCCAAAAGAAATAAATAACTCTACTGTCGCAGTTCATATCTTGCCACCATTGCAATGCATTGACAGAGAAACGATTGTAAATTCTAAGACGTACCCGCCGGGCACAGAATTAGCAGGGAAGAATGAATGGCTAAACACAGTGAATTACCTATCAGCTTCGCCTTTTAGCTTCTTAGAGAATTCATTGAATACACTATATCCGCGAAGACTCGAATGCCTATCCGCAGAAAGCAAACGCAACCTCGCGTTTGAAGCCTGTGAAATTGGAAATCCCGGCTGGACGAAATGGTCGGTGAACAAACACAGAATGATCGCCAAGGATATCAGGAACAAAAATATATTTCTTAACTGAATGTGTAAACGAACAAACCTGCCGAGACGTTAATTGAACAAGAGATCGCTTGGACAGTAACAAGTCACGAACCAGCTTTCTGCCAGCCATTTGAAGGGCTGAACTTTGAGGAAATTGTCGATCTTTTTATTCTCGGGAAAATTCGGGTCTATTAGGTTGCCCCCAGTATCGACTACTGTTACGTTAGCTGATATTTATAAATTTCTAATTCTAATTTGTGAATTATTAATTTCCCATCTTGAGGAAGAAGAAAGGAGCGTGGACGGTAGAAGAAAGGAAGCGAGGCAAGCAAGCTTTGCCACACAGTAAAGATCTTCGTGCTCTAGGGTTGCTCCGTTCAGAGCCACTTGCCCCTCCACGGCTCCTTCCCCAGAAAGTGCATCTGCCCTGGCCCATTAGCATACCATTTCATGAATTAGAATAAGCCATCAACAGGACCAAATTCAACTAGCCCATTAACCAGCTTCAAATGGATCGTTCGTATATCATTTAGACTTACTCAGGATGCGTACGTGATTCGTATGCCCCATTAGTAAGCCCAAAGACCTTGAAGATGCTGAAAAATGGAGCCTTAACCTTTGAAAGAAGGAAAATCCCCGCGCTGATTTTTTTTCCCCCCCGCAGAAAGCATATAATAAATTACCATTTTTATTTAAGCATTTAAGATTTTGAAATATATCAGGTGACTGAGTCAAAAGTTCACACCCCTATAAATGGTTAGGAATCACATTACGGACAAGTATTTTTCGCTCTTCAGAAATTATCAAACAAGTCATTTATCACTTTAAGTTTTTATTATTTTTATAGAATTCTAATGTGAATATTTATGCATTTTGTATGCTGGTAACTGGTTCCCAAGTCTGTTCTTTCACCTCTTTCCAGGTAAATAGAAAGACTTTCAAAATATATATGGTGGACGCAATACTTTTTGATTGAGTCGAAATATAGTGGCCTGCGCATTTCATGCTTTCATCAGGGGGAGGAAAAACAAAATTGCGGAATCCAAGAGCTAAATTCCAGTTCTAAAATCAATTTCGACAATGTTTCCTTAAAAAAATTATCAAATTTTACCTATGTTAGAAGCTATTGACATCCAATACTTGTTAGCAGCATTTTCCGTCGTATATCGTGGCCCTGCCTAATAATTTTCAAATTGGCAATGCATTTTATTTACAGAGAATAAACGTCATGATAATGTTGACTGGAAAAGAAAAAGGTTATGATACTGACAGCATAGGCTCGGACGAGTTCCTCATAAAAGCTTTAAATATCGGTGACGAGAAGGAGGAGAAACAAAAGCAGAAAGAAGAAACAATTTCAAGATTCGACTGATGACTGAAACGAGTACAAAAGTGAAAGTCACTACCAGTAAGTACTGTAGAATACAATGGATCAACATCAAGATCACACCACACCAATAAGAGAATTGATTGAAGAGTGTGAGGTAATGGGATTGATAGGATCAATCACAAGCGAGATTAGCCGATGAGAAGCGCTTCGCTTGAGACGAAGCTGCGGCCTCCGACACCAGTGCTTGAATGAGCAGGGTCTTGACCTGCCAAGGTCTGTACGGATACCCCTCTCTAGTGTACGAGTTAAGCAGCGCCGCGGTTGCCTCCTTCACCAGCCTTCCGAACGCGTTCTCCTCGTCGTTCCTCGCAGTCGCCTCCGCCAATGTCAGATCCCAACTGTACCGTTCATAAGTCCTGGAACCGAACACCTTCCACACCGTCGATGACTCCGGAACCATCCTCGGCCACTTCTCCCTCCGTCCGCTCCAGAACCTTCACTTTAACACATCAGGTGATTTGACTAACATAATACGAATGTTCATAATTGTGTTGAAATGTGGAGAGAAGAGATCTTACTGTGGAGTACATCTTCCTCTGGTCCTGGTAAAAAGGAAGCCAGGCCTCTCTCCTCTAGCTGCAGCTATTTGCGAATCTGAGAATAGCAACAGACAAAATAGAAGAAGAACACTCATCTTGCAGGACCCTGACCCCTCAACTTGGACTTCCATTTGTGAATCAATCCTCCATTTTGCGCTCTCCGAGACGTCAGTTCTGAGATTGCTTCTTCAGTTCTTCTTTATGGATTCGGATTTCAAACATTAGCGTCTCGTCACCAGTCTCCACTCCACTTTATCCAAACTAGTGAAAATTAATAACTTGTTTGTTTGCTGGTCGCCTGTTTCTTTTTTTGGACATTTTTACCCTTCAGAGTTAGAGATAGGGGTGTTAGATCCGCGCTCCCATGGAGTGGTACTGACGCAGCATAGGGGCAAAACTCTTTTTTTTTTTAATTAATCAAGTTTTTGATTCAAGGGCAATTTTGTCTTCTTAGTTACCTACTAGGATGGGCTTTTGACCCGAAACACAACGTGTCACGGTTAAAACCCAGCCCGGGTTTGCTAACTGTCTGCGGGATTAGTTTCCCCAGCGGAACGCTAACTCCCATTTCAAGTTAAGGGACAGCCCTACTTATTGATTAATGAGGCGATATAGAATCAGTTTTGTAACTGTACCTCATGTCCTAATTATAAGAGCTAATTAACTAATTTGAGTAGATTAAAAAATAATTTAAATTAGTTATTTATAATAAATAGATATTATTTTTCTAAAATATTTTTACTAATCAAGTTTATTAGCTAGAACTATTATTATTAGAAAGATTATCTTGAAAAAATAGATAAATATAATAAACATAATGAATTGAAATATTATATTTATGATCAAAATAAAAGTCAAATAAGATTTTATATTAAAGATAAAAAATAATAGTAATTTGCAAAAATACGACATAAATATGTAAAAATAATAATATCATGAAAATGCTTATAAATACGTAAATCCAAACAAGGTCTGACATCCCCCCTCGAAGCCTATAGTTTTAAGACCAGTGCTCTTGTACTATTCTAGCCAACTTAAACCAATGCAATTAAACCCCTAGTAAGTCCCAGGGGAGCAGCTTTTACGCATCTGACCTAGAACCGCCAACGGGAACGAATGATGATAGCAGATTCTCATTTATCAAAGTAAAAAAAATTTGTCCCTCCAAACCATTCCCCCACTCATTTAAAATGAGTTCCTTAGTAATCGCTGAAATCTGGTGTCACCGTCACACCGCATCAACTTTCGCTACATCCTCATCGGCACCGGGGAACAACATATTTGAACCAATGCGGACCGCTGTTTCGTACATTTTTTCAAGATTCTCTCCCTCTTAGGCTTCTCCAGGGCCGATTCATTTAACCAAGTAAACTAACAATCAAATTTTCACAAAATCTTCACAGGCCCCATATGCCAACATGGTCAGAAATTTCATCGCGGAGATAATACTCAACTACAGGAATATTGGTTGCATGGCAGAGACAAATCAAGATCAAATACATTTCAACGGCAAAGCACGCTCATCGGCCATCTAGCTATTGCGTTTTGCATTGATTGAACTTCTGGTGGCATAGAGCATCCTCCGTAAGAAAATCGTATTTACAAAATAAGTGAAACTGACAAGGCAACTTAAATCAGTGTCAGGAGTGAGGCTGCGACATTGATCAGAGTGCGAGTATATACAAGAGAAGAATGCAGCTAAGCTATGTATACAACAGGTTGATGATCCATTGCAGCCTATCCATGAAGTTTAGGACTCACGGTATTTGGTCAGGTCAAATGTCAGAGTTCTCGAACAGCTGTAGAAAGCAAATTAAGTGCACCACATCAACTTGGAGGATCATTTGGATTTATGACATCAATGTAGTGACAAGAAGCAAAAGTGATGCAAGTTATATTCAACAATCGTCAAGCTTACCTTCTCTCTGAGTCACGGTAAACACCAACCAATGCTTCAGCTTTGTCATAAAAGCTATCTTTCAAGGATATCACAATGCTTTGAAAGCCATTGCCACCATCAGCATCTTGACTAGCCCTTGCTCCCTCACAAGATTTGGAACGAATGAATCCAGCAACCTTCGCAACATTTAAGTTGTCCAATGCAGCATCAACTTCGTCCAATATGAAAAAAGGTGAAGGCTTGTAACTGAGACAATAAAAAAGTATGGTTAACGAAACTCAACAAGCAGATCAAATATACAATAGAGCGTGCCTGCTAGAGCCAGCCCCAGACGTATCAAGTATTTACCTTACAACAACTCATGTTTAAAAATAAAAAAGGCAGAAATAACTAATATACACAAGACATTGCAGTTCAGATGAAGCTTGGAAAATAATGAGTCAAAAAGTGCTTGAGATATGGATCTATATATTCATGATGTTTACCTGTGGATGGAGAATAGCAAAGCAAGTGCAGCAACAGTCTTCTCCCCGCCAGATAGCTGCTCCATATCACGAAAGCGCTTTGTTGGGGGCATAGCAGTGTACTTGATGCCATGCAGAAATGGATCATCTTCATTTTCCAAGTTTAAGTATGCTGTTCCACCCAGCGGATGTGTGTTGCTCTTTGTAAGCTGTTTGTATATTTTATCTATATTACCGGATATGTGGCTGAAAGCATCCATGAACAGCTCATACCTGCATTGTATTAAATGAACCTGGCTTCACCAGAGGATAGATGCGATGCACAAACAGATACAAGAAAAGTTCAAATGAGCTCCATAACAGTAAATAGTAAATAGTACTTGAAAACTTTTTTCTTTTTGACCTGGAAATCGTACTTGGAACTTGAGATGCATATTTTTGCATTTTCATCAGATTTGGCAAATAACCACCCCAACTTCGGTGTTTCAGAGTAGGAACAACAAATATGACCAAAACGTTTTTCACCTCTTGATTCATAAATACTTTTTTCTCATAAACAACCATATATGAAAAAGTCATTTATAACATTAGGAACAACTTAACCCGCACATGCTATACAAAAAAAGCTCTTCTCACATATAGATGGCATTAAAAAGATTACCAAACTGCCTTTTCCCGGTCAACAAAGATTGAAAGATGTAAGCAGGGCAATCTGTTTACCCTATTTGCCAAACCAGATACCCCAGTCAGTCCAGAATCATTTTCCGCACGTTTTCGCAATCTATACTGATATCTTTTCATCAAATTTGTACTATAAAAACAACTGGTTAAACACACAACATGTAATAGCATAAAAATACCTCTTCTGCTTAACTGCATTGAACCTATCAGCCTTCTCTTTCTCCTCTTTCCTAACGGCTTCAAACTCTTCGGTTACAGCTCTTTCCTTTTCCAGCAGAGCCTCATATTGATCTAATGCCTTCAAATTTGGTGCTGTTCGTTCAATTTCAGATGTCAGGGAATCCATTTTTTGCCTAAACTCAGCCTCAATTTTGTCTCTGTTGGAATTCCTCCTGTCCTTCAGAGCTCTACTTAGTTGGTCAAAGTCAAAAACTGGGCCTGGTATTGAAGTACCAGTATCCATTGGATCTTCTATAATTGGCAGGCTAAGCTGTTCTAGTTCACACTTGTCTACAATTTCTTGCTTCTGGACAATTAACTGCTCAATCTGGGCCTCCTGTTTATGACCATAAAGATGCGTTCATCAGTGTATAAATTATACTTGCAAGTTGCATAAATGAACAAATTTACGGTCATCCTAACCTTTGAGTTCATCTGACGATTAAGTTTAGATATGCTTGTTGTGGCTGAAGAAGCACGCTTCTTCCAGTCTTGGATATCCTTCTCACAATCTTCTGACTTCAATTTCCACTCTACAAGAACAAAGTGATCAGATGCACAGAGAAAAACAACTGGATAGGAAATGGGTGCATTTCAGCTCCTAACAAGACCAATGAAACTGTGATACTATCAACTTCAAAAGAGAACAGAAGACAACCAGCTTATTTCAGCCTCAGGTAACCAAGGCCCCCCCGGTCATAGTATAAAACCTCCACCAAATATATTGTAATGTATTATATCTAGGTAATATCGTAATGCAAAACCAAGGGTCACCCAATATACCCTGAACTTCGTCCTTCAGCTGGTTAATGTCTTCGGTAGCTTTCTCAGCTGCTAACTTTGTTTCAGCCTCTTTGTGCTGTACCTGTTCTAAATCATGTTCAAGAGCACTCAAAGAAGATTCCAGTTCTCTAATTCGTGTAGTCATATCCCGATTTTGTTCATACTCCAACCTGATAGTTATTTGAAAAACAGAATATTAATAAATGAATGCATTATTAATTAATTTAAAAGCAACTAAACAGACAGCGACTAAAGTTAAAACAAACACCTCAATTCAAACATGACTTTTTAATCTATACTTTTTAAAGAAACTCCATCATCTTTTGAGCATGAAAAGGGGATACACACAGAAAAAGCTTCAGCAATTGCAACTATAACACATGCACAAACAACAACGTCCATTTCAATAGCAGCAAGAAAATAAAAATAATAGCAGGAAAAGGCTCAAGTCAAAAAAAATACTAATATTGAATCCGAGAAATAACAACACGACATTTGTCACAAAAGTGCTTCCATCACTTCACATTCAAAGATATAAATATAAAATTGCAGAGTTCTCTTTGAACTACAGCTACATTGAATCCCCCCTTGCACTATTTTTTATGATAGATTATATATTCCAAAGCCACCAGGCAGATGTTTCCTGACAATCCACCTAATTATGTTATTCACAGAATAAGATCTCAGACAGGAAAACGAAGATGCCTATCAAGATTTTTCCTTTGTACAATTTCATAATTAAGTACATATCCAAGTTGATACAGCTTCAATTCAGCACTCTGGCATCGAAACACACTTGCAGTGAAGCATAACAGAAGTAGGTTGCAAGCTCAAATAATGTTAATAGAACACCTCCCAGAGTTTAGGTGAAAAGAACAAGGGGGGGAGGGGGGGGAACGCACTGATATTTTAACTTTGATAGCTGGCTGCTCAAGCTTAGCCTCTCCTCTGCTACATTCTGAGCAGATTTGAGTTGATTTTCTTCATACTCACGAATGTTAGAAACCCCAACCGACTTGCTGAAATCTTTGTAAATCCTATCAGTAATTTCATTTATCCTCTTCTCCAGCTTACGTATGTCCGCATTCCTCTTATCAATAGTGCCATTTAACTGCAAAGCGTAAACAATAGGTAACCAGTTAGGTATACAAATGCATAATCGTATGACTGAACCAAGTCATCACAAATGTCACGTTACCTTCTGCAGTTCTGGACTTATCCGTTCAATTTCTTCTTTGATTGTATCTTTCTCTCGCTTCAAATTTGAAAGTTTGTCTACAATGCTTTTCTGGAAAAATAGAAACATAATAAGAGATGAAATAGTTTCAATTCCATTAGCAGAGGCAACAAAAAAGTCACCAGTGTTACGAATATTCTAATAAATTAACGAACCAAGACAGGCACTTGTCCGTCTATTTTTGAGTGTCTGTGTTCTGAGTGGGTGAATTACCTCCTCAATTTCATCATAATGAAGTTTCTTTAGAAGTCCACTAATTTTTCCCGATGCTTCAGACTCCTTAAGGTGCATATCTCTCATTGATCCTACCTCTTCCAACTCCGATTCATACTGCTCTTTCTTCTTCTTAAGGCCTGAAAAACAGTGTGGTTATTGCTAGAACAAATTGCCTTGAATCATATTTTAACAAAAAGAAAACAAACCTTCAATCTTTTTGTCATCCCACTGTTTTGACCTAGCCTCCATTCCACCACTAGTGCCACCAGTCATTGTGCCAGATTTTGTCAGCAGTATTCCATCCACAGTCACAACTAGTCAAAGGACATTTTACAAAGTTTAGCTGTTGGCATTTTGACAAGCAAAACTATATTATAACAAACCAGTATGTCGTCCTATATCCATAAAGTCAGTAAAGTTAACAACCTCCCGAGAGAAGAAATATTACTCTCTCCGATTCAAAATAAAAGTTTCAAATCTTTGAAAGGGTTCAGCTTTTTTTTATAAACTTCAATTTGAATTTGTCCGATCACCAAACCATTTATTCTATTTTTAACCCTAATTAATTATACGTCTCTCTCGTCTCTTTTTTTCACTTATTCTCTCTTATCTTTTTTTCCACTCATTCTCTCTCTCCCACTCACCCTCTCCATAAATAAGGGTGTTTTAGAAAAATAAGTTGCATTTTTTATATATTTATTCTCTTTAACCAATTTTAGACAACTTTTTCAGTTGCGCAATTTAGTTATTTGATCTTTATATTTTGAACTGGAGGGAGTACCAGATAAAAAGAAAAATAAATAAATAAATGTATAAAGAACACAGAATCAATAAGTCAACAAGTAATAAAAAAAATTTGACTTCTCAAGAAGAAAGTACAATAAGAAACTAGACTGAAAAGATTATAGAGAAAAATAGAAACATTAAATCACTTATTTATATTAGGTCCTAGCGATGACAATACTGAGAAGACGTATAATAGGAGAAAGGAGGGAAAGAGAGGGAGAATTAGAGAAGAACAAGAATCAGAGGGGTCACAGGAGAGAAAACAGGGAAACAAGAGAGAACAGAGACTGAATATTGCTGTTATTCATAGGAGGCAAAATCATTCATCTGATTTTTGTATAGTGTATTTATATAAGCAGTGGAGTAGGTTACAACAATAATGGCTAGTAACCACCACTAGCCGACGGCTTCTTTACCTATCCTAGCCTTGTCTCAAAATCACACACACACACACACATATATATAACTAACAGAAAGCATGCTTACCTTTGAACCTCTCACCACTCCAGCTCAAAACTTTGGCCTCCTCAAGATCGTCACAAACAAGAGTATTGCCGACAGCAAAGAGAATTGCCTTCTCCAAGGCGGGATCAAACTTGCACTAGTTAAGTTGAAAAGCTTAAAGCACTTTTTCACTCCATTAAAGGCACATAATTTTACTTGAACAGAAAATATGTATATATTTTATTGACAAGTGATAAGCACAGGAAAAAAGAATCAAAGATGCGTGATGGTTTGCAACAACCTACAGAATTACAAGAGATAATGCATGAACGACTATTAAAAAAAAAAAGAAAAAAAAAACAAATTGCAACAGGATCTGCAAAGCAGTCATTAGTCAAAAAGGATATTGAATAACATCAAAAACCAGCTTTGCTGTGCCACCTAATGTGCGCAATCTTTCAATAATTGGCTTCACACGAACTGATTGCAAAGGAATAAATGTCTGCGGAGGAAGCCTCTGATCTTTCAAATACTGTAGAGAAGCAAATGATCAAACTCCCAATTAATACAAATAATTAATATAAATTTCTAACCAACTAAATGAAGGCTATCATTATACAACAAACAGTCAACTTTGTCATGTTATTACAAATATTCCTCAGTTATAATGAGCAAAATGCGATTCATAAACTCAACTCCAATAAGCTGAGAGAAAGATGCAATGTTTTTTGCTGCTATACTAACGCATTTGTCTTCCCTGTCAAAAGCTTAACCCATCAAGCAGAGGCCCATGAACAACTAAATCACAATACCCTCACGTGAAGCTTTAAGCATAAAGAAAGCATATTTTACTCATACTTCATGCTCAAACTTAATTTTAATTAGAGGAGTGAGGGGTAGAAAGGATCAAACTCTTGACAACTTGGTCACAAAGGCTCTAAAGCCTGGCGACCATTTTAAATCAGAAGTTTAGACTATTTAATGAAAGCCCCTGAATAATTTCATTACAATCTCTAACAAACCAAATAAAGAAAACACAGGTAAAAGCACCAGCGTTAAATTTAAGCTTTCAACAGCAAAATAAAGTTGTACTCTAAAAGTTGACTGACTGAATCATTCAAAAGAGATGAAATCATCCAGGACCTAACCCACCTAAACTCTTTTGTACTAAAAAAAAAAAAAACAAAAGAGATGAAAGCCCAAGGGAAGAACAAATGCAATTTAAAAAAATCACATTAGCACCTTAATGCATTCCTTTCCAGTCTTTTCATCCTCAACTACAACCGCATCCATAAATTTACCCATAGCAACAGTAACAGCTAGGTTATACTTCTTCTGCGTTGGCCTACAAAGATCAGTCATGCGACCATGGACTCCTTGAAACAGGCGTTTGAGGCTCTCCACAGCTTGAGACAGTTTTGCATCTCTCTCATTTTCATATCGATCAGCCCTCAGTTCACGAAGTTGGTTTTCTATTTCACCAATTTTCAACTTCAAATTTTCATGTTTCTTCCTGCATGTGAAAATTAAGATAAAGCTCTAAAAATTCAGAAATACATCACAAGAAAAGTATAACAAATATCAACAGCAGATACCATTTTATAAAGCATAGGCACAACAAAGCCCGCAAAATTGTATGCCCTAACAACCCCTAACCACCCAGTACTAGCTCCTCCTTTTTTGTCAAAAGAGAAGCATATACATTTTTAACCTATTAGGACCTTTAGAGGTACTATGAAGTAATGTAGGTTCTACCCTCTAGCCAATATAAAGTCAAGTAAATGAAAGAATAAGTTAAATTACCTGGAATCTCGATGTTTGTCCTGCATCACAGACCTTTCTTTCTCCAATTTCGCACGGTCATCCTTATTTTTTGAAGTATTATCACGAATTTTTTTCAGCCTAGTTCGCATCTGTTCTTCTTGCGAATTCAATTCAGACTCCCTATTCCTTAATTGTTGAAGATTTTCATCCAAATTTTTTTGAGCTTCACTATCTGCATGTTGTTGCCTATCCAGAAGTTCTTTCTCCTCCCTAAGCTTTGCAGTTTTCATCCCAGCTTCCTCTTTGCTGTGACAGCAACGTTTTCATCATGAATTCCAAAAACAGAAAAAGAAAAATCATAATAAAGGAAAAGCGATACTGTGACCTGTTAAAGACTTCAGTCAATGGAACTTCCTCTTTGACATTAACAAAACATTTCACAATTTTTCTTTTTTTCTTTTTACCTGACAAAACATTTCACAATTTAAACACAAAGGACTTGTCTCAAATAAGATACATTTATATGAATCGACAAAATTGCTTTGCTCAATGCTCTTAACACAATCATCGCCAAAACCAGCGCATTCAAGCATCAACCAATTAAAAACAGCCAGGCTAGTTTTGATGCACACTACAAAAAGGTAATCTGGATTTCACAAGAAATCCTGAGCTAAATATTGAAAAAATTGAATTTCAGTTACGGCTTGACAGCATAATCCAAATAGTACAATAATATTGTCCGACAGAGAGTAGGCTACAAGGTTACAGGTAATATATACTCACATTCGAAAATATTCTTCCAAGTCACAGCCATCTAGCTTTAGTTCATCACCAACATCTCGACTCTTTTCCTGTAGATCTTCCAATTTGGCAGTGAGATCTCGGATACCCCTCTGTAGCTCTGTTATATCATTAGCATGTTTTCTCCGTTCTTCCCTTTTTCTGCCTAGCTCTTTCTTCCCTTTTTTTATTTTTGAGTTAATACGAGCCATCTCCTCTTTCAACTTCAGAAGATCAGGTTGCTGCAAGCAGGGCAGCAAAGCCAGGGAACAAATTTATTAAAAAAAACGAGGAAAGAAAAAATGAAGATTTATTTGAATCCATTCTCAAGAGATCAATATGAATACACAGAGTCTATACACCGGGACCCTCAGATAACATGTGTGAGACCACATATTGGGCTTAGCAAACATGCAGAAAGGAATTTCATCATGACAGGCATATCTTGTAGATGCTTCTTTATTCTATAAATACTTGCTTCAACCCAGGCATGTGACAGTAAAAGTGCCAAAAACCATCTTAACATAACCCTTCCACCCCAAAGTAAAAGAGAACTCACATTCCTGTCAAGTTTGTTGCTTTTCTCACCAATTCTCTTTTCGCATTGTGCAATTTCTTTGAGATATTTTGCCTGTTCTTTCTTCTTCTTACTGGCTTCAGCTTCAAATTTTTCCAGTTCTTCCATGACACCTTCACGACTTCTTTTCTCATCCTCAAGATCATCAGTTGTCTTTTCAATATCTCTTTCTATATTGAATAATTGCCACAAGCAATGCTCTTTCTTTATAGTTTTCTGCAAAAAAGAAAACAAATAACTTTCAGGAGATTATAATGAGAAGTCTGTTTAAAATGTAAATTGAAGAGAGAAAATTAAAGGAAATGCAGAGTTAAAAAACATTTTAAAAAATAAATCCCAATTGAAGCTGAAAACACTGTTCAACAAACCATTTGTCTTTAAACAGCGTTTTTGGCTTCAATTAGAAATTGACCTGACACAGTTTCCCTGTGTTTGTTCTCAAATATCTTTTAGTTTGGAATGAGATGAATGTATCACGCGGTTGAGTGTTTGGTAGTTGGTTCTTACTTCCTATCAGTGAAGAATGAAACAGAGCTGCGTCATAACAAAACAGTCTATCGGAAAAGGAACCACGAAAGATGAGAAGTTAACAAAACACAGATTGGACATAGCTGGAAACTACTTCTACATCAGTATATGCACTAAACGCACCAGAAAAACATCACTGAGACAGATATATTTACCAGCTGATCCTGCAACCGAATATGCTTCTCTGCTTCTTCCTTTTGCTCCTTCTTCTGCTTTCTCTCCATAACTACAGTCTTCTTCTTCTGGTAAACAAGGGCTGATTTTTCTTCAGCTGTGGCTTTTTCTTCTTCAAATCGTTCATAGTCTCTTTTGAGCTCATCAGAGCCAGATATCTGCTCGAGAAGGGCAGTAAGCTCTTTAGGATTCTTCGATGCAATGGATTCCACATCACCCTATATAAGGAAGTTGATTGTTGTGCGTCAGTAAGTAATTAGGTACCACCATTCAAGAATTGCAATCATGTAGACCACCTAAGAAACATGCCATGATCGGGGCATGAACAATGACACAACATAGCGCATTCTGATATTTCAGACTCCGCATTCCCATTACATTATGGTTTACAAAGCATCCAGTGGATGAATAGACGTTAAATTTATTAGTCAAATCAGTTGTGCGCAACTATAATCATTATGAAATAATTACAATAGGTTTCTCGTCTCTCATTCTGCTTGTTCTCCTGCCGCTTAACCTTTTTAATTTTTTTGGCGCATGTCCACGCTAAAAAAGTAATAATTTTCACACCCCGCGAGTATTCTCATGTCCAGGAGATCCTGACGCTGGGAGATGTTGAAATAGGACATAGGAGTTCGTGGAGCCATAACTCCACGCTCGGCGAGTCCCTCTCTCTCGGGCTCTAAACATAAGAGAATCTCGACTCTGTAGCCTACCACCAATAGAGGGGTCGCAATAGCAAGAAGTTAAGATAACCAGCGGCATCTTTACTACCAGAGGCTGAAATAGAGACCATAGCAAAACATTCGTGTTTTATACATTACCTGAAATACGAGGAAATTGCGAGCTTTGACAAGAATGCCAAGTGACTTTAGTTTAGCATTATACACATCCCACGTTACGGTGCTCCCGTCAATCCGGTACTCGCTGACGCCAGCGCTCGTGATAGTCCTGGTGAACTGAATCTCCGACCCATTGCCCAGCTGATAAACCAAACGAACGAATGCCCTCCGTCCCTTCTGCTCCTTTTCCTTGTCGTCGTACGCGTAGATTAAGTCCTTGAGTTGAGCACCACGCAGCTGGCCTGTCCTTACCCCGAGCACAAAGCTAATGGCGTCCATAAGGTTGGACTTGCCCGCACCATTGGGGCCAATAATCGCGGTGAAGTCGTAGAAGGGACCAATAACTTGAAGCCCCTTGTAAGACTTGAAATTTTCCATCTCCAAGCGATGGATTTTCCCAGGAGTAATCAGGGACGGCATGATTCGGTTGAACGAAACCCTAACTTTAGTGCTGAGACTTATGCGCGGAATTGAAACAAAATCTCCAGGTAAATCAAAGATGTGTCTCAGCAACAGCAAGAGAGTCCAGGTATGAATTGAGGATTAACTGTTCGTGAAGTAGAAGAAGTTTCAAAGAAAATGAGCGGTCGATTAATAGCAGAGAAAGTCAGGGAGAGAAATTGGGGATTGTCCGAGGAAGAAAGCGGAAGAGAGAGAATCAGAAGGGTTCGACTGGATTGAAGAGTGGAATTGAGAGAGAATAGAAGTGGAGAATTCAGAGAGGGAGACAGGAAAGATTCGAAGAATTGGCGGGAGGATTTTGGCCATTGAGACACATTTTCGGGGCTCTGCTAGTGCGGAGTGCTAGCATCCCACTGTTGCTAACTGTAACGCTCTTACGCGACCAACGCGGGATCAATGGCTCTCAAATCTGAATATTTAGGAAGTGTTAGGATTAATTTTTGAAGTGATTTTACAAATAAAAATACTTTTTTAAGTGTTTGTAGGGGTAATTAAAACATCAAAAGTTATGTTATGCTTTTTTTTTTTTGGTTGGCTTCATAACAGATTATATTAGTACCAATCAACGAAATGCTTTTTTGAAACAGATACAATTTCTATATCTATAAGGAGACTAACAATAATATGCATTTGGAGAGTTAATAATGAAAAAACGAAATTTGTAAATAAGTCGTGGTAATGTTAAATATAAGAATTTTGATAATGATAATAATATTACTGAGTAATTACAACATATGAGTAATATAATTTATTGAAAAAATAACGTTTAAGAAATGGATTTTGGGCTGGCAGAGAAAAGAATAAAAATAAATAAATGAATTTTGCTGTCCTTGGTCAGCTAATTAAAGAAAATAAAAATATGATGACTTCTCTCCTAAAAACTAGGGAAAATGACATTGAGGTCCCATGCAACACAAAATACTATAAAAAGGTCCCAGGAAATTTGGTAATGATTCTGAAGTCCCAAAGGGACTTCAGTGCAATTTGATGAATTGCAAAATGACGCCTCTGCCCCTGGTGAAATGCCCTGTTTTTCAGTCTGAAAATGAACACTCTGTACGCAGGAAACAAGAGAGAAAAAACCCAAACTTCATTCTGCTTCTTCCCCCATTCCCATCTGAAAATCTCATCCACTCTATTAATGTCAATCATTGGCAAAAATCGCTTGTGTTTTTGGTTTGGTGTGTGTTTGGTCATTCAAGTTGGGGTTTTATTATAGGTGGGTAGGGTGATTATGGGTGTTCTGTTTCTGGGTATATTGTGGGTGGATTGAAGGTGGGTTTGCTCTGTCTGGGCATAGTTTAGGGGGAACTGATGAGAAAGATGAAGGTTGGTGTGATTAGAAACCCTTACTGCGAAATAGGAAAATATGTTGTCAATAGGGCCGCGACAGTTGTCAATATAGCTCCTTGACTTGTCAATAATAACAGCATTGTACAGATTTACATTAACTGATTTTTTAAATTTTTTACACAAAGGCCATGACCTTCTGTACCCTTGACTCATTGGTAGAGATCACAAAAAGAGGAAGAAGAGGCAACAAAGAAGGGTGAGTAGTTACATGAGGCAAAACAAAAAAAAAAGCCACTTTGATCCTAGACAAATGATGGCAAAAGAATTTTTTCATAAATAGAAGTGACATAAATTTTTTTGGTAGATGTCACAGCACACAAATAATTAGTTTAATACTGGATACATGCAACTATTTGTTTTTTTTAATGGGGTTATAAAATCAGTGTAATTACATGTATATGAAGTTGTAAATGAAAGTTAACTGTGTATTACATTCTGATACATAATTAGTTGTCATTATCCGCACCCTTTATTGTCAATATATATTTCGTCACTTGTCACTCACTGCACCATCAGTTGTCAATTAATGTACTGATATAAATTTAAAAAAATATGATTTTCGTTACATAATGTTATACAATGTCATACAATATCACTAATTCCTCAAAACTAATCCATTTTTTATAATGTGATATAGAATAGTTATTAAAAGTCAATTATCACTGATATGAAGTCATAAAATCACTTGTCATGAACAACAAATTCACTTGTTAATGGTTTTGCTCTGTGCTGACGTTAGTTTAGTAGCAAAGGAAGAAAAAGATGAATGTTAGTGTGGGTAGAAACTCTTAGCACGAAATGGGATATTGTGTTGTCAATCAGGCCGTGATAGTTGTCAATGTGTGCCACGACAGTTGTCAACGTAGCTCCTTAACTTGTCAATAGCAGTTGCATGATTCTTGATGCAGGTTTAAATTACTGATGACGAATACATCTGAAAAGCATCCATTTTGCTTTGTTCACATAGAGATAAAGTTTATAAGTGATAGAGAAGATGATATGAGATATGTGGGAGGTAGTGTAAGAACAACAATATAAAGGAGGGAACAAGTTATGAAGAATTGAAGGAAATTATATCATCAATTGCTAGAAAAGAAAGTGACTCATTTCTTTTGAAATTCTCAGTTGTGTATAGCTCAACAGCATCCGACGTAGAAATTAACAACCTAAGTTATCCAAAATAACAAGTAATATAACAGAAGTTAATAACAAGTGATATAACAGTTTTATAACAAATGAATGTGTGAATATTAATAATTAATGTTCAAAATTTTTATAACTGAAGGTGTCATTTATTTATAATGTTAAGTGATATTTGCATTAAAATATAATTATTAAGAAGAAGGTGTTACTCAGATTTATGTTCAATTGACAAAAGAAAGTGCCTACATTAACAAGTCACAGTACTCTATTGGCAAGTTATAGTGCCACCATTGGCAAGTTAGTGTGCCACCATTGACAACTAATAATCCGCTGCAGCGTCTGACCATATCTGTCGCGGCACCCCCATCTGTCCCAAGGAGTTGCCATTCTGTGTAAGGCACCGGGGCACCTAATCATATCCGCCGCAGTGCCCAAACCTTTCGAGAAGTTATTTGGTGAACAACAAGTCACAGTGCTACCATTGACAAGTCAGTGTGCTACCATTCATAAGTCATAGTGCCACCATTGATAAATCATAGTGTTTCCATTGACAAGTCATAGTGCTATCATTAACACTTCATTAATAATAATTATATATGACAATATAATCAAAATATAATATGACAGAGTAATTAAAAATATCATATGATACTAAAACAGGTTATGTAACTTGAATTCATATTGTTGACAACTTATATCAGCAAATTAATTGACAAGTTATAATAGGTCTAATAACAATGTAGGGTGCGAATAATGACAATTGAAATGACAGCAGAATCTAACATGCCAAGTTACACTGAAACCATTAACAAGTGAATATGTTGTTTATGACAAGTGATTTTATGATTTCATATCAATGATGATTGACTTTTAATAGCTATTCTATATCATATTATAAAAAATATATTAGTTTTGAGGAATTAGTGATATTGTATGACGTTGTATAACATTATGTAATAAAAATCATATTTTTTTAAAATTTATATCAGTACATTAATTGACAACTGATGGTGCAGTGAGTGACAAGTGACGAAGCATGTATTGACAATGAAGGGTGCGGATAATGACAACAAACTATGTATCAGAATGTAATACACAGTTAACTTTCATTTACAACTTCATATACATGTAATTACACTGATTTTATAACCCCATTAAAAAAAACAAATAGTTGCATGTATCCAGTATTAAGCTAATTATTTGTGTGTGTTGTGACATCTACCAAAAAAATTTATGTCACTTCTATTTATGAAAAAATTCTTTTGCCATCATTTGTCTAGGATCAAAGTGGCTTTTTTTTTTTTTTGCCTCATGTAACTACTCACCCTTCTTTGTTGCCTCTTCTTCCTCTTTTTGTGACCTCTACCAATGAGTCAAGGGTACAGAAGGTCATGGCCTTTGTGTAAAAAATTTAAAAAATCAGTTAATGTAAATCTGTACAATGCTGTTACTATTGACAAGTCAAGGAGTTCTATTGACAACTGTCGCGGCCCTATTGACAACATATTTTCCTATTTCGCAATAAGGGTTTCTAATCACACCAACTTTCATCTTTCTCATCAGTTCCCCCTGAAACTATGCCCAAACAGAGCAAGCCCACCTTCAACCCACCCACAATATACCCAGAAACAGAACACCCATAATCACCTTACCCACCCATAATAAAACCCCAATTTGAATGACCAAACACACACCAAACCAAAAACACAAGCAATTTTTGCCAATGATTGACATTAATAGAGTGGATGAGATTTTCATATGGGAATGGGGGAAGAAGCAGAATGAAGTTTGGGTTTTTTCTCTCTTGCTTCCTGCGTACAAAGTGTTCATTTTCAGACTGAAAAACAGGGCATTTCACCAGGGGCAGAGGCGTCATTTTGCAATTCATCAAATTGCACTGAAGTCCCTTTAGGACTTCAGAATCATTACCAAATTTCCTGGGACCTTTTTGTAGTATTTTGTGTTGCATGGGACCTCAATGTCATTTTCCCTAAAAACTATACCCAGTTGCTACGGATCCATGTCCAGCCCAAGCGAGGACCATCCAAAGTTTGTTGTCGCTTTGTAGCCAAAAAAAAAGTTTTTTGTCGCGCCTTTTTTGTTTTTGTTGGCGTGGGCCAATAATAACGTTTGTCGCCATCATCCCTCAAAAAAAAAAATATACGGGAGGGTCTCTTATGAATTGAGTATGGAATCTGCTGGTTCAACTAAATGGACGGTCGTCGTTGAATGCCGAGTTTTCTTCGCAAGCAATGTTGCCAGCTGCACATCGCCCCAGTCACTATAGGGGGTGGTATGAAGGATCCCAAAGGCTCATGGAGATGTAACGTCTGTCGTTTTTTTTTTTCAAAAAAAAAAAAGATAAGACAGGGATAGAAATGCCATGAGAATAAACATTTACAGCATGTAAAGGTAAAAAAAAAAAAAATTCAGATGTTGTGTGCTTCTTCTTCAATATTTTGGGGGGTATTTAAAGAAACATGATTTTTGCCTTTCTGAATAGATATTTCTTTTGCCATTGAGTTGACCGTCGTTCACTGTTTCTTTGACTAGGCCCGCAAGCTTTTCTTCGGCCCACGACAGGCCGGCAATCTGAAATTTAACTGTCATTTTCCTTTCCACCACCTTATGTGAACTGTTATCCACTCCAGTCTCCAGTGATCTAAGGCCCAAATTTCACACAGTAATAAGTACAATGGCCCTTCTGAGAGATTTATGGACCTTCAGACCCAAAAGAAGAGAATATACAATTGTTAGCATCTCCTAGAATAATCGCTGTTTTTTAGATGTAAACAATTTAAATTTAAAGAAGTGTTATTAAATCAAAGTCAATATTTCTTTGGTCT